GCGTTTCAAACAAGCCAAGAAACATCGCGTTTGAAAGGCCCTGTGCCCCTCGTCACTGCCAAACACCACGCTTCCTAATAGCAACCTGCAGTCACCCTTAAAAAGGCCAAAAGCTGAACTAGAAAGTAAGTGAGGAGCCAGGCAGCAACCAACAGCCAAGATGCTTGCAATAGCAGGGTTATTGTTAAGTTATAGTCTCAGATTACAGGGGAAGTGGATTTTTGTCTCACATGGCAGAAAAAACATTCCCACAAATGTGAGGCAAAAGAAAAAAAGCAATGATAAGTAATGGGTACTCAATTCTATAATCTTTATGTTTAAAAATGATTGCATGCTACTGGGATTATCATTTAAATAATTTTACTTCTAAATACAATAATCCCTATTACTTACTGTCATCGCATTATGTAAATCTGAGATAAACATTAAAATTCTCCCTTTAAAAAAAAAAAAAGTCCAGAGAATTGTTAAAGTCTGTGAAGGGCTGGAGTTGTAAAAAGGTTTTTTAACTGAATAATATTTTAAAAGTTCCTACCCTCCTGCAGCTTCCCAGGGTGAAAAAACAATTACGTGTTTGGCAAGCTTACAGTCTTGCAGTGCTAGACATTGTACACTTACAGGCTAAGGGATTACAAAATACCTGAACTTTAACTTGTCACAGATTCAAGCCTTGATATTTCCTGTCCTTGTGCAATCTTGGTAAAGAAGAAAATTCTTCTGACTCAGAGTTAAAAAAAATAGATGGTTGAAGCCTAAAATACGGGGCGGCTCATCAGTTAAAGCCTGCCTCAAACTGACCTTACAAAGTGGATGTCAGTTAATTGGAAACAGAGGTAATTACAGACATCTTATGAGTGCGTGCGTGCACGCACACACGCATTCCCCCCCCCCCCCCCGCCCCCCCTCCCCACTTCTTGATTTGATACCCAGACTGAAAATTATCTTCAACAATTAACTTTCCCTTTTATATAGAATTTTAGCTTTGAGGAATATCGTTTATGCTAACCATCCCTTGCCAATTATCTTGCATTTAAAGCTATTCTGGGATAGGAATTTGGGGCTTTGGCATTCCTTGTATACAATGCAGTTTATGCCTTTTGATAAAAAGCATAGTCTACAAAAGCATTCTTTTGCTTTAAACAGACCTAACACTATTTACATTCTGCCAGCAGTTTGCTCACACTATCCCCCTTGCAGATAGATAGCCTCAGAACAGCTAAGGAAAAACTGCAGAGCTGAACAAAATATTTGTGAAACCGCCTGTATAAACCAGTGCAAAGGTATGCATATAAACCAGTGCAAAGGTATGCATGTGCCTTCCTCAGCCAGAGGGGCCAACCAGATTACAAACAAACAAACAAACTCCCAAAACTCTGTCCTCTAGAAATGCCTTCATAAACCTGGTCTTTGCAGCCTCAAATCCTGGAGATTCATTATTATTCTTGTAATAAAGCATTCCAAAGAGACCTGGGCACACAACAGTAAATGTTTAAGCTGTTACACATATTAGGTGTACTCTGGCTCTCTACATCAAATATTTTTTCTGGACGCAGCAGGCCGTATCTTGGGTTCTCACTGCAGAAGGACAGACACCTGGAGCTTCTTAGCATCTTTTCCCTATTCTTCTGCCACACACCTGTCAGTGGTGGCTGCACGGTCGTGCTTGTACAGCTCCGCTGCGTGTTGGAGATGCTATTCCTTTTTTGCATCGTTGCATGATAGCAGCAGAGGCAGCCTTTACGCAGGGCCACAATCACAGATGAAAAAAAATCTATATATTGCATCTATGGCACTAATTCCAGCTTCAGCACTAAGTAGTTCCTTACCTCCGCCCCGCTCCTTGCACTGCAGAGCACAGTGAGCGATCAGAACTGTCTACAATATTGCAACTTCGACTCCGCTTTCTCAACAGATGAAAGGCTCAGATCTGAGTTATGTGCCTCCACAGAGGAAGTGAAGTCCTACAGGACCTACTTGGGTCCAGGATGCACACACTGCATATCCTGCTCAGGGTCGCTTGGGAGAAAGAGTAAAATAACTGGAAATTCTGCAAGGTGCTTCTCTTGAAAGACGAAAAGTGTCTTGAGCAAAGCCAGACCATAGGCTACTAGTCTGAATCCCATGAAACTCTCAGTCTGCATTTTCTTGGTAGCTGTTGTTTTAAAATACAAACCAAAGTCCTCCTTGAACCTAACAGTTATACCTCCCCTTTCCTCTTGCCTTCTGGTAACTGCCTTTTCCCTTTCCGGACACTTTGGTAGGGATAACATGAGATTAGACAGCTCTCCGTCAAAAAGGATTTGCAAAAGTGAGAAAACTATCTGGGCAGAAAGGACTCTTTCCACCTACAGAGCAGCACCCTCTGACGGGCTGGGGCAGGGATTCCCATACTGGAACGATGCAGAGCGCAACTCTGTGCTCGGACCTGCTCATTTCCTTGTCGACTTCCAGACGGAATGGGAACCTTGGCCCCCACGGAGGGCTCAAGGAGGCCCACGCTCAGCGAGCGAGCATCCATCTCGGGCCCACGCAAGCAAAACCGGACTCTTCATTAACAAGCAGCTGAACAAAGAACAGGCTGCTGCTCTCCAACACCACAGGTGTTGAAGCTGTCCTCTCCGCACAGTTGCCAAACTTCCTTGCTAACATAAATGATCATGATGTTAATTGGCTTAGACACTCCTAATTCTCTGGCTGCTTCTTCTTGCTCCACTGCCAAAAGCAAAGTGCACGAAATGTAGGCACGCAACAGCAGCAGAGACACAAAAGTGGAATCTATGTAAACCATGGACCCCAAACAGCCACAACTACTGTATCTTAAGTGATCTTTAATCCAAAATCCCTCGACCATCTGTATTCCAGCAGCTTGACTGTGCAAAAGTTTAAGGGACAAGTAGCATTTTTGGTAAGCATTTAAACAAAACATTACCTATGTATGTCACCCAAATCACCATTTTTATAATAACTTTAGTTATATTTTCTTGATAAAAGGCTGTGAGCAAAGTACTTCTATCAAGTATTTTTCATCACCGGCACCTAGTAGTTATAATCTTTCAAATTCACAGTCTATGAAGTCATGAAAAGGTGAAGATATCTTAATATATGCAATTTACTTGATTATATTGCTTTTCTCAATAATAAAAAAAAATGTCAAACACCATTAAAGAGAGAAAAGTTTTTTTTTTCCTTACAGTTACGATTTACTTTTTGGCATAATTACAAACAACTGCATTTAGTACTAGTTGCCACCTGCGATATAATTAGAAGGGAAAATCCACAGCATAGAAATAGGTCTTTCTGCAAATTTTTCTGCATTTGCCACAGCAGTTTTGAGTCATTGTTAATGGAGAAGTTTGGAGAGTTAAAAAAAATTTACCCAATTCTGCAGAACCGAATAGCATTTTCCACTGTCCAAGTCAAAAACACAGGGCCTAGATGCCTTGTTTATACGTAACAGTAACCTTTAGCCATCGTCGGCTCCCTCACTTGTACTGAATGTCAATTCAGTAGATTCAAACACCAGGTATTTCCTCTAAAAGAGCTGGACATTATGGCCCCTTCATGAGGCTGATTACTATTTGGATTAATAGGTCAGAAACACAATGTCAAAGTGAGAGGTACTACTACACCACCATTCATCCGCAGACCTGAAACAGTTGTTACAGTACTTGACTAACATGGGATAACATGTTTTATGTTTTTTTTTTTTTTTAAATTGAAGCAGCCAAAAAAGACAGGGGGCTGGGGGGCTTGGGAATGCTCTGTTTCATATTCTTTCTGTAAAATTGCCAAGGACAGTGAAAGCAATTGGAATTCATCACAATCCATAGTTTTAAATAAGCATTTTGCCTATGTCTAGCCACCAATGAAAGTTAAGTAGGTTCAGAGATTTAAAATACCCAGAAAATAATGGAACATAGCCTAGTTCTACAAAAATATTGTTGAATTTGGAAAAAACACCATGCATAATTTTACCACAATGCAATGCCGATATTTATTAGCTCTGTTCATAAATCTTTGAGATAGGGATTTACTAAGCTTTTAAGAAAATATTTGCATTTGGCTTTTCTTTGGTGCATTTGAGGCAAACCTAGGGAGCATCTTAAATTTACAGCCTCTTTTAAAAATACTTTATGGTGACAAGTCACTCAGTTAAAATACTTGCCATACACACTGCATATTATCACAAAAGGGTAGTTGCAGAACATAACTAGAGAAGAAGCAAGTTCATTTCTAGTCTGTTCAGGTTTTCAGATCTTGCTCATCGATGACGTTTCCAACCACACTCCTGTAGAGCAGTAAACAACATGACTCACCTCTGGTTATCTTCTCCTCTTCCTCCCAGAGGGGGGACTGTGCGGAATGCATTGTTCTGGTCATTTCACATACATGCACATTAGTGCTGTGTTTCTATGCTGGAGAAGGGAAAGAAATGCATCTTGCAGGTGGAACTCGGGGCTGCGAGGATTGTATTTCAAGTCTTGGGGGTGCCTTCTGCATTCTGGGACTGACCTCTAGGAAAGCTTTGTTTCATGCACAGGAGCATTACTTTTACTGCAGATGCTTCTGTTGCTGTCATAGCTATCAGGCCATAATCTTTTAGCTGTTTGGAGCCAGGCCTTAGATCAACTAGCAGAGAAGTAAAAAGGCAATGGATTTAATACAGAATTTAATGCAGAAAACAGTGTGAAAAGGGAAGAAAAGTTTGATGCGATCCTGTTTTGTGCTGCTGTTTTAAAAAAGGCAAAGATTCCTAAACAAAGTTTTGAATGCTGTGACACTGCAGTGTAAATAACCTGTCAGAGCGGGACAGTCTTTAAACTAACCATCCATGACAGAAGATATTAACTGTAAATCATACAGCAATAGAACTGCATATCTAGAATGTATCAAAATGTGTTCCTACGTTAGTGGTTTAGTTGAAAAATCATAAGTCGGTGCTTCCAAATAATAGAAATCGCATCATGCTTGTGAATTCATCAAAATACTCTCCCTTCTGGTCACCAAGAAAACCTGTGACCAGGCTCAGCTTTGCCTCACTGTTCTTCATCCAACAGATTATCTCATCTAGTGTTAGTTATAGGAGCTAGGTGTCGATGCATACCTAGAACTCAGCATAAGCTGCTTGCTGCTGACTTTTGAACCCATACCGCCCTTTGGTTTAATGAGAGACTGCACATACGTGAATTCCACATGTCAGATCTAATGATGGTGGTCCTCATTTTACTGCTTTTCCCTTCCTTGCCACTACCACTTTTAGATGATGCAGCGATATCACACAGTGAGTCACAGAAACAGCTGCAGAGATCCAGGAAACCAAGTATGAATTTCTTCTCCTCAGCTACTGACAGGAAACCACTCACCAGTGCTACTAAACAAAATACATAAAAAAAAAAAAAAGAAATACAATATATAAGTTTTATGATCAAGGTCCTGCCAAGTGCCGAATACTATTTTCTGCTATATGAGCTAGTAGTTTGTCTTTGGTTAACTACTTTGGCTTTAACGAGGACAGAGAGAGTTGATACCAGCAGTTATTGGCTAAAACCTAGTACGTGGAATGGGTTTCTCAAGCATTAGTCGGACTATAAAATGTCTGAAAGTGGAATTAATCTTTCCTTCTGCAGTTGAGCTATTGGCTATATCCACCTGAAGAAGTACTTATGTTTTGTGAATGTTAGGTCATCCTGGACTTGATTCCATTAGGATATCCACTATTTTTTGGTAGGTGAATATAATGAACTCTAAAGCTGTTTTGGAACTTCTCCAACCAGTTCTGCTTTCCCTAATTCATTGTACTTGACAATCCAGACTGATGAACCAATTTATGATTCTGGAGAGCTCCTCTGGGAGGACTGCAGCAGCTTCAGTAAAAGCAACAGGAAGATTCTCCAGCCTGAAAGACAATCCCAGCACAGACCTTCCAACTATCATTACGTTACTTCCAGGCCAGACTGACACCTGGATTTTTGCTTACTAGTCAGGGAAGAGCATCAAAATGAAGCACATTCATGGACAGGGAGTAAGGGTGGGCCAGTCAAAAGTTGAAGGCTAAGGTACAGTGATCACATACCAGATCCTCCACTCCTCCTTCTGCAAGCAAGATGTTATTTTCCTTTAGTGAGTTCAGAATATTACAGTCCATAAGTCCTTGTTGCACCAGGAAGGTGAATCTTTCCTCTTGGTTGGGAGCTGAAAAGTCAGAGTGAAAGGACAGACTACTCAATAATGGCTAACAACAAGGTCCTCAATGGAGATATCAAAGCTGGAGATCAGGTCCACGATACGACTGGTGTCTGTGCTGGACCAAAGATGATGACGACAGTCTTAGAATTTTCACCTCTGCAAAGAGTCAGGGAAGTTGACTGCATATTGCACAGTATTTGTTCTTTGTGCAATGTATCTGACAGCATAAGCGAAACTCGGATGTGGGCGAAATTTCAAAGAGCATTTCAGTGGCCCTGAGAGATGAATCTACAGTCCCAAGGATTGTTCACTTTCTGCAGAGTACAAGTTATGCTAATTCTCATGGCAATGCTTGCTCCAAAGATGCTTAGATTGCCAAAGTATATGAAAAGGACACAACTGGAAGAAGAGGCGTTATATGCATGAAGTAGAACAAGAATCTTTTTTATTATATACAAAGAATGGCTGAACTTTTACACTTAAATTTTGATGCACGATGTGTAAATGGTGTAATTGTCTGTACTGAATTTTATTTATGATTATCTGAACTGAGAAAGTCACTTCTTTAAAAAAATGCATTCTTCATCTGTGATTTTAACTTGGGAAGACTGTTATGAAGGGTGCCTAGTTTTAAGACAATGCAAGTTCCCGGTGTTGAGGAACAGGTAGTTCTATCTCCTTGCACGTGAATTTGCATGATAAAACAATGTCATTTTCCTAGAGAAGGTAAAAGCAGAGTTATAAACTGTCAATTTTCTCTTCTGCTGGGAACAGTCACTTGAAAAAGAATATTCACCGCGAGATACATAGACAGGAGTCTTCCTGACAAACATCTCCATTGGAGAAAAAGGCTTGTCAGAGGACTTCCCACCTCCAGATATCAGAACAGGTCATGGGGAAGAATCTCTTTCAAAAGGGAGGTAGACATCTGCCCCAAAGAAACCCAGGAGTAGAAGCATGGAGCTAGCCTCGAGAACAGTAAATACAGTGCAAATTTGTGTTATCGCTGACTACCAGTTTTGCAAAAAAAAGTAGCAATTCTATGGCAGACAGCACTGGAAAGAGGAGTCAGCCCTTTGCTCTACCCTCAATCCCCCTCAATGCACCTTCCTCACAGATTCCCCCCAAAAAAACAATAAAGACCAAAAAGAGCAAGTGTTCTTTTTTATAAAAGGCAGAGGGCTATGCCAAGAGAGCTTGCTCCAACACAGACTTCCTTACAAGGAAACATTGCCATACGATCTCTTTAAACATGGACGTCTCAGCTAGGTAAGCCTAAGAACAATCATTTTAAGGAGTCGTCGACTGTCACAGTAACTTTGTATTGCCTTACAGCCAGTGCCATATTGCTATTTCTTCAGTGACCTTCAAGGACTTGTGCTTTAAATATGACATAAATTCCAAATCACGTTCAGTCTAATGACAGAACTGGTTCCTAAGGTCCTCCCATTTTGAATCTTGTCAAAGAAGAAGTGATACAGTTTTACACCGTCGTCTTCATTTGGGTTTTGTTTTGTTGTTTTTTTTTTCCCTAAAATCCTTGGTAGACTGTAAATTATTCAGCCACTACAAATGACAGGCTTGACATGAAGACCAAATTAAAGAAAACGCCAAGATACCTGCACAAGAGAGACCATTTTCCTCACCAGCAAATTTCGTACAGCAGTGAAATAAATGAATAGTAAAAGCTAGTAAAGAGAAGCCTTCTATGCACAACTGGAAAGGCCCAGGATTCAAAACCGCTCCCTGCTATGCTTCTTGAGCGCTGAGATTTTCTCACATCATTTCAACTACATAGGTACCTGGAAAAAGTGATGCTTCCTGTTCAGCTGCTAGCCATATGAATTCAAATGAACACTTCTAGCTAACCCAGATTAACTCCGTGAGCCTTAAAAGGTTTTTTTCAATTTTTCTGCTTATGTTCTAGCTTGCTTAGTAAAAAAAAAGGCACACATGAATGAATTACACGAGTGAATTACACATGAGTGAATTCACATGAGTGAATTACACAGATGTAGGTATTCGAAAAGCCACTTGTTGAAAAGAAATATTTTAAGGGTTAGGGTTGGTTTGAGAGTTTTTTTGCCATGTTATTACATTAGATTTATATCTTACGCATCACCTTTAAAATTTTAAATGATTTGGTTTCTCACTGACTTGGAAGAGAAGGAAAAATAATTCTAAAGTGTCAGTAATTTTCTGCACCACAGTTTGCAAACAAACAGGACATCAAAGAAGAAAAAGTTACGACACTGCTGAGGCTCCAGAGCGCATTCCGTTTTCTGGGATGGATTTGGCTTGGTGCAGGGCAGCTTGAATTCTGAAATGTGTTCTTGTTTCCATGGAGTAATTCTTGTAGCTTTGTCTAAAACAAAAGCAGATCCACTACGATGAATATATATATTTTAAACATTTTCAAGTTATCTTTATATTATTGTTCTAAGCAAAACAACTGCAGACAGCAGAAAGCCTTTCTTCACAAACTCCTTTGTTGCCTACTCTAAAATACAGGCATGTGTTCTCAGCCAAACAATGCAGCTCTTTGTTCTTTATTTGTAGTTCCGCTGTCTGGAAATTACCAGGGAAAATATAGTTCAGAAAGAAATTGAATCTGTTCCACTCAATCAAAATATTGAGTCTATATTAAACACCCATAACATCCACTTAGTTTACATTCAGAAATTAAATATTTTTTCTTCCCAAAGTATCACTGACAAATTTGGAAACAAACATTTTCAGGATTTTTTCCTCATTTTAATAAGATAGTCTGTGCTAAGGGCAAGGATTTAACCATTTTGCAGCAGCAATATGAACCTTTGTTAGCTAGAGTATGGAGAGGAATGAGACCAACAGCCACTGCTAACTGCTAAGCAGTATCGAATGAAAATTACAATGAATTGAGAATTTATTCACTTTTTAAGTATAGTAAAAAAGGGATAAAGACTTTAATTGCCTATATTTGGTACAGTGGTAAAGGGAAGGACATATGTTTCACTGATCTAGTTTCTTCTGGATGCTTTGAACCATCTACCACTTTTAATATGTTTATTAAATTATTTTATTGTATATTTGGAAAAAAAGCAACATCTAGGGGAAAAGAATAAAGCTAAGACTTCCAAAGAAACTAACTAAGGGGGGGATCATTCTCAATCCAAGCCATCATTCCCTGATGCTAATTAACACAAGCAAACCAAATCTTTTTATTTTTCAAGTACTTCCAATACTGGAAAGGAGAGAAGTTCAGCAGATGTGAAACCTCTTCAGCCATGGTACGCAGTCCTACTTATACCCTTCCCTGTACTATCTACAAAACATCCCCAAGAAAAAATGAATCTTGAACTCATCTTAATTCAGCTGACACGTCTCAAGGACGGAGAGAAAAAAATGAGAAAGAGAGAGAGAAAAGCTGTCCTGGACCTGAAGAGGGAAATGCCCTGTTTCCATCCTGTGGCTGTCAAAGATGTGTTACAGGAGCACCACTATATTGTGTGTTGGGGGGGGAATAAGGTCAGATCGGCTGCCCTGGGAGCTTGGACAGAGAAAGAGGGTGCATGCAAGACTCCATGCAGACTTTCAAGGAGCAGTTCACCGGCCCAGGGAAAGACTGGCAGGAAAAAAAGGAATTCCTTCCTTCCTCCATAAACATCTAGTGGCTGGCTCAGCAGCATCATTTGCCTATTAGCAAGGTTATGTTCTAAAGAGTTATAGAAGCCTTTGAAGAAAGTGTAGACCCTGCTTACTAGGAATTAACGATTCAACTCCTGTAGAACAGATATAGAATCTAGACATCAACAGTTCTAAGACTTTGCTAACTTTCTTTTAGAAGGTATTTGCCATTTTTACCATAAAGAAACATAACATCAAGTATGAAACAACTGGTATATTTTTAAAAGCATTTCAGTTCCAAATTCATAATTCAAATCGAGCATGAAAGTGTGGCATCTGCCCCTATGGCAGGGGGAGTCTTTGTGAAAAAGGAGGACTTCCACATTTATCCTTCCTCAGCTTATAATATTATATATACTCAAAAAGCTGACTGAATAGAGGAAGTGAACAGATTTTCCTCTACTCTAATCTGAAACTCTTTGGAGTTTTTACTTTAAATTAAGTAGACTTTGCCATAAGGAAATTAAAAACACCTTTTGTTTTGCTCATCAGTTGGCTGACATTCTTGCTTGTAGCTTATGGCAATACAAATGGAAATAATTCCATGCATGATCAAGACAAAACTGTTTATCATCTCATTCCACTCTTTCTCCTAGAGTGGAAACATTCAAGCCAGCAGTACTGTATGGATTCAGGTCAAGCAAATCAAGCGCCATCCACAAGCAGAGCGCCCATCTCCACTCCAGCCAATTGCAAACCTAATTCCGCGTTCCTGAAAGCCACCACAGACAACTCGTTCGCCCTCTAGGCGCTAAAAAGAAAATCAGTATTTTAAGCTGAATGCTTAGAAAAGCTGTGCATTTGGAGTTAAAACTTTTCTAACCACGATACTGCTTCTGCTGTTATGTCTACTGATTCGCAGAAGGTAAAACTGCCCTCTACTGACAGACATAGTATATTCTTTTGCCCAACTGATATTACCTGACTTGAGCAGTTTTAGTTTGGAATAAAAAACGAGTTTGGACAGTATATGAAGGACAGCTAAGGAACTGCAGTACACATAGTCTACTCTGAAATTAAGGTTGGAGTCTCACCACAGGTGCCTACACTGGAGAAGGGCTGCATGGACCCAAACCATATTGGTATTGTGAAATACTGATACTTCTAGATCTAGTATAACAGCCACAGGTGGTCGTTTTAAGGACTGTTTTTTTTTTTTTCTCTCTAATAACTGCTTGAAGCAAGACTTCTGTGTTTTGCATATCAGTTCAGTTTCCATGGATTCTTTGAGCACGGCAAGCCTGGGTATTAGCTTTTCATACATTGGGTAACAACATGCTTAAAGCAGCTATCTGTTGTGTTCCACTTTAAGCTCAACTTCTTCCATTGAAGGGGTCTGTGAGCTGAGCCACTCGGAGCGACAAGTGGGAATGTGGAATGGCTGAGCAGGAACTGATAAAAGGACTAGTCAGAATGAGATGTTCCGAATTATTAATTTCTAGGCCTCTTTTTAAGATAGAGTTGAACAACGAAAATGAGGACAAAAGGAAACGTGTGCTTTGAGGAATGTGAAACTAACTGAAACACCTTCCATTGCATTTTCTAATGAAATTTTTGCTATTGTTATCATCTTCCATGAGTCTACAGAGTCCAGGCTCACAAGCACAGAAGATTAAGAATTGTAATGTTTCAATTTTTGTGTTGACAGGCTTTTGGCATATCTCTAGTAGACCAATTCACCACTCTTCCTTGCGCGGTGGACTGATGTGGACAAAAACTGAACACAAAACCACTATTTGACCTCTTTGAAGCTTGGGGCCAGACATCAGTTTTGCAGCCGCTCACACCTGCAGCAGTGCTTGGCTTGACTTTATGCACTCAGAAACATGTAGACATCTGGAATCATTCAGTACCCAGGTAGACAAATGGACAACCCTGCTTGGACAGGATGCTTCAAAGGTTGTTTGGTTTCAATAGTTTTGCTTTTTGATTGTTTGTTTTCCCCTAGAAAGAAATTTTGGCTCAGCAGAGAAGCTAAGGGTGAGACCAAGGCACAAATATATTTTGTTAGTTCTACAATAAAGGATATACATGATCAAGTCCAACTATTCCTGATAAACCTACTTTGACAGAAAAATCAATCACACAACAAAAATACCGCAGGCAGGTGTTTCAGCTGCATTCCAGCTGCAGATAACACAATGCAAGCAAAGATACTAAATGCAACCTGAAGAGTTATCTTTAAATGTATTTAATCAAATAAAATAAAACAGCACTGCTAGCCATCAATTTGAGTAATGCTTTTTCAACCATAATATGGAGCTTTGATTTCATTTATGAAATTTATTTTTCATCTTTTATGAAAAAGTAAGGTGCCTACAAAGATTATTTAATTTTATTACACATGGATTATTTCTCATGGAAGCCCTTGACAGTTATATTAAGACCTTTAAAATTTCATTTTCTCCTATCAGAATGGAAGGATAGCCATAGACTGAAAAATCAGATAGTGTTTACCATTAGAAAGGCCCCAATCAAAACTAGGCCTTCCACTGAATAAACAAAGAGTGAGTTCCCATGGTATTAATCAAACGGTTTTGCTTCCTGCTTTTCAGTAAAATACCATACTGACCCATCAGACATCAGCACAGGCTTTTCACTTGCTTACTTTGCTCTTTCCAGCAGTTTTATCGCTTCTTCTCTTCTTCCTTGGTCCAGGTATAGTACTGCAAGCTCCAGCAAAGCATTTGGAATTAGATAATGGTCATATTTTATCTTCTTCTCACTGAATTGGAAAAGAAATAGCATCAAGATCTTGAAATGATACATCATTTCCCTCATTTAACAGCTCCAAACACAAATAAATAAGAGATTAGCTAAGATCAGAAGGGGCAATCAATCTCTATTACAACACCTGTCATGTTCTCTATCCAAAACTACCTTCCGGGTTATTAAATGTGTATTTTGCAAAACCATGCTGCACAGTATGTTATTTCTCAGGATTATAAAACATTGCCCTTATTATCAGGGAAGAATTAGAAAAGGGGACAATATTATGAGCTCTATCCATGTGCATTGACAAAAAGAGATGCCGTTCTCTGCATGAGGTATAGAAGTTCCAAGTATAACTGTGCTGCCATCTGTCTCTGCAGACTGCATTTGGCTCTTTGGGCGCAGCTTCTTCATGACTGATAAGGGGGTGAGGGGGAAGCACTGATATCTCACAAATTTTATGCATGTATAGTCCCCCAAAATGAGGAAATATCCCAGTAAAGACTGCAGATTTGCAGTCCTTCTTTCTTACATGGCTAACACCACCGACAATTAAAATTGCGATCCCTTGACATCGAAGCAGGTGAAATAAATAGTAAAGATTCTGCAGTCCTCCCCCTTCTATTCATATCAACGTTTCCTCTGCCCTTGCTTAAAATGAATTGTTACGGAGAAATTCAGGAGTTCTCCTACACGCCAGCTATGAAAACTTACTTTAAATGGATGTAAGTAAAATGGTCTTCCGCCTCTGAGATCTTGCCCAAATGCTTGAGGCATAGACCCTTTAACAGTTTTATCACGCACTGGTCATCTGCTAGTAACTCTGTAGCTGCAAGGTGAAGTAAATGATGAGATGGCACATTTCAGAAAACCGTTCAGAGCACTGGAGAGTTTCCTACCTGCAGGGAAACTTACACAGGTAGGTATGAGTACGATCTATTTACTGGAACACAGGACAGAAGGAACTAACTGGTTCACATAGTTTATTCAGTGCAGTTTCATGCAATCACAGACAAGCGCACATCATCCTTTTCATAAACTGACCAACCATTGTCTAAAGATTGCTGGGATGTTCTGTTCCCACCGCGCCAACTGAAAGGCTGTTCCACAATCTTATTGTTCTGACACCTAAAAACTCTTAGTTTCCACTTTGGAAATACTGAGGTCCAATTCATAATCTTTCAACCTTATGTCTTCATTGTTCTTCAGCAAATACAGCTCTTCTCCCTCCTTGACTCTTATCCGCATGACCTGTTCATAGGGAACAGTTTTATCAACTCTCCACCTTTCACTAAAGAAAATACGCCTAACTTTGCTGGCTTCAGTTGACGTTCCCTCATCTCCCTACAGTAACTTCTTCTCACCTGTTTCCCTTTCAGTTTGTACTTCTAGCCACGAGTACCCGAAATGACATATACTCAGTCTTACCAGTGCCTAGCTCAAAGTCATCACTAATACCCCTTTTCTATCAGGAAAATTTTGCATAGTACATTTTGAAAACATCTGTAATAATCTTCCCACGTTGGCAGCTTAGTTTTAAATTTATAAGCAAAGCTCATTTCCAACTCATGAAATACTAACTAATAAGAATTTCGGCAAAATATGTAACACCGCATTTTGGCCTACTGAATTTCACCCTGTTTCTGCAGTCCTCAAGATCACATAGTTCTTTCTCTTTCACTTCAGCTGATCAAATGCTGACCCACACAGCGTGACACAGTTGCTCCCCTTTGGGGTGTGCAGTTAGAGGCCTTGATCCTACCATTGGATATGCACTGAAAAATTCTTGCACCTACAGCAATACACACAGTCACTTCTATTGCTAAGTCCTATAGAGAAATCTACCATACTATCCATGCGTACCTCCAAAGCGAAACCCAGGGAAGACGACCAATGACTATTTGGAAAACAGAAGGACTAGGGAACAGGACAAAAGTTGATACACTAAGTATGTCCACAGTCAGATGGCTCAGGGCCACAGGAGAGTTTTACTTATTTCATTAGAAGAATAAAAAGCAGATCAATTGTCCCTTCTGGCCAATTTTCTACGAACACAATCCCACGTATGTATTTGCTCTACTTTTAACACATCCTGGAAAACTTGCCCTGGGTTACATAAACATTTAGGGATCCATCCTAGATATAATTAGGCAGATCAGATTTAGATTTCTAGATGCATTTCCAATAATTGACTTCCTTTGACTCCTTATTCTGTACAACACTAGTAATACACACATTTTCAAGCTCATAATTGTATAGTATTAGATTATTGCATTAAGAATCTAACAATAAGAAAAAATACAAGAAAATACAAGAAAATACAATAGTAAAACCTCAAACACTGTCAGGAAAGCATGATACCTGAAAATAGCAAGTCACTACTTGAAAATGGTAATACTTTAAATTGTTGATGTCTAAACTATATCACACTTTTCGACCACATGTCCTCACAGCGTTTCACAAAGATGAATCAACCTCAGAAAACCCCTGCAAAAAGTTAGCCAGCCTTACTCACAATTTACCAGCTAGGAAAAAAATAAACAGAGTAATAAATCACTTACGCAAAATAATGTAGCCAAATGAGAAGGTGAAAGAGACTTTGTCAAAAGCTTTCTTTCTAAGATGTTACCTTCACTGCAAATACTTTTCTCCCGTCTTTTTCAAAGAATTAAAAAGGAGATAGCTTAAGCCACTCTTTCAAGCAATGCCTTCAACTCTAAAAGAATACCTGTGTAACACATGGACCGTGCACAGGAAGGCTGCAATGCAGTGATTTAACCTATAGGTTGAATGAGCTTGGTCCTTTTGCAGGAAGGTAGTACATAAGAAGATCACATATTTAGTAAGAGGAAACTTTGTGAGGCAGGCTGTGCATTCCCCCTATGGGAGTGTGGTTGTACTCCCATAGGAGCTGGGGAAGATTGGCAAGAAATTAACAGCAGTTAGCTCTCTCATGGATGGCTAATTACCAGACTGACAGAAGACGCTGTAGCAGAGCCTGTTCTAGTTCCATACAATCCCCTTGCTTGTGCTAGAGCTCGTTCATAGTACAAAGGAAGTCTATCCCTGATGTCCTAGCTTTCTACAGCATACCACTGACATACAAACACCATTCAGCTCTCCAAGGCTTGGTCATAAGTTGACAGCATTTTTAAAACAAGAGTGATATTTTGCCTCCTTCCATTTATCCTTCAGAACTGAAATACAGTGTCTGAGGATAATGAAACTTTCCGATCCAAGTGATCAAGTCAATGTATATGCTAATTTTGATCTTTTAAAATTAATACATACAGCAAAATAAACAGGCCTTTGATACACATCACAGTATTCTTCTCATATCTCTGCAGATGTAAAACAGCTTGTTACCATTTTAAGTTATTGCTATACTTAAAGAGGAAAATTATTCCTATCTGCATTAACAGTTTATGGTTTCATAATCTGTCTTCCGCCTATGATTAGATTAACTTTAATAATGACACTTCCTCTTTATACACAGATAGTTATCTTTAGCTATCCCATTGTAAAATACTTGCTTAAATCATATCACTGGTTACCTGAACTTCTTGCCAATTCTGTTTCTGCTTCAATTAAAGTCTCTAACATTCCTTCTGTTAAGTCTGGGCATTTTCCAATTACAGCATAGCCATTCCAGATATACATCATTTCCTAGGGTCAGGGAGAGAAGACAGCATCGTTAATTATGGTACTAGATAAATGCAGTTATCAAACACCTCAGCTTATCTCTATCTATGGTGAGAAAGCTACAAATTCCTTAACTAGAAACTCAGTTTGTCAATATATATTTTCATTGTAACTGAAAACCAGTTACATTCATTTCAGAGCAAGTTAGTCCTGGAAAACACCTAAAGGGCCACATACTTCACACAACACCAAGGAGGATTGCTTGAACAGACCACTAACACTAACTCGCTCAAAAATAAAGGCAAATACCAACATGACGAACAGACTTAAAACCTGAACGCCTCATGGATAACAGTCCCTTGATTAAGGCCTCCTCTTGTTTTTCAGTTCTAATCTAACCAGATCGGTAATAAATAACACAGTCATAATGTATTACTTCCATAGAAAAATACAAAACCTCAGAATTTCAAAACAAACTAACCAACCATCAAACAAAAAAACCCCAATAATCTTTGGGTCAAACTTTAAACCAACCTACAGAAGTCCCTCTAATAAATTTTTTAAGGTTTGTTTGAAGTTCCCTCAGAAAATAACATCTTTCCTCTTCAACTGTAAATGTTTTCCAGAGTAAATTCTATCAAAAGCTATTAGTTTAATTCCTATTTGTAACTGGGGTTCTCCGTTACAATGCATCACCAGACCAAATGTATTGAGATGCCCATTGCTATTGGCACTCACAAAGCTAACCAGGGAAACAGTACAGAGACCTGCTACAGGTCCTCTTGACACGTGTTTTTGTTCTGTTTTTGTTTGTTTTATAAGACCTGGTATGTATTTAACAATTTAAAGCTTCTCTATAAAGTTCCTGTACAGAATAATTGAGTCCAGAACCATAAGCTGTCAGGATAGAATAGACAAGACAGTGTTTTAACTCCAACCACGTTTGAGACCTCTCTCCTCTCCGCAAGTCCATTCACAGTGAAAAGAAACAAAAGCACGAGAAACAATAGCTCAGTTAAGATTCGCCACCCCAATTCCACATGTCCTCAGTGTTTTCATCTGTTCAGCTGCGGCAGCTGCTGCCTCTGAAATGCAACTGCAGGGAAAACACAGACTGTAGCGCCCCCACCACATCACAGAAAGCCTCTAGCAGAGAAAGCTGCTCTGCCAATAACCCTATTAGAACAGCCAAACCAACACTCAGGTGTGTACGTTTCTCACTCTCCGCAGTTTCTGAAACCTGAAAGGCAAATCAAACTAACCTAATTATTTCTCTCATTTCAGTCTTAAGAACTTAGTGGAAAGTGGCCTCTAAGTGAATACCCATCCTATACTGTAATACATCCGCAAGAGACTAGATTTCCATAAGAAGCACTGTGTCACACACCCAGCTTGTGGGCTGAAAAATCACTGCTCACTGGCATCTCCAGGAAAATTTACTTGTTCCAGCATTTTCTCAAAGAATATATGTTATTATCCATCTGTTTCTCACACATAACGGCTCAAAGCACTGCAAACGTTAACCCCACTGTACATGGGAAACCTGTGGAGCCGAAATCTTTTCATGTTCTTTTACTCATTCTTTGTAGATAGATTTTTGTAAATGCACTGTGTACTAGGCAATGGGCACCTTATGAAGCAGTTTTGCCTGGCCATGGCAAACTTCCCAGCACTACAGGCACAAAAAATCAACAATATAGAATAGTTTTCTGGACTGGCCAAAAAGAATTGGCTGTATTTCATCCCGCCACCCATGAGGTGCTCTGGAGAGCACCAAATTGCAAACGTGCACGGGCACGTAAGTAGACACTTACATGCAGTCCCTCAAATCTTGCTCTGTTTCCTTGATTTTTTTTTTTGCTCACTTGTACCTTAAAGTCTTCATTTAGTAGTGTCAGTAAATGACATACATGACAGAAGAGACCCAGGGCATTGTTCCTCAAAAGGTAATCAATGAAAGCTGTTAAAGGCATTCTAGTCTCAAGCTGGAATAACGGGTTACACATGCAACACATTTATGTGTGACAAACAGCTGGCTTAATTCCCTGTGGCTGGTGCATGTCCCAGTTTTACAAAATTCCTTGCATTCATTTGGCTTTGTTCTGTGAACATTCCAGTCTCTTGCAGAGGTTTTACCTTAGAAACATGGAAAGATACTATTATAATTATCTCATTTTCATTTCCATTTTATAAATTAAAGAACAATTATAATAAGGGAGAGGGGAGAATATTTCTAACTCACCAAAGGTGGGACTGGCAAAGGAATAGGGTTTGAAGAAAGATACCGTCGAGCTTTACGAATAGCAAACTTTTCCGTAGGCAGTGATTTCCCTGCAATTTTCAGTTTCAAACTGGGAACGCTTCTGATGTTTAAAAAGGAAATGAAAATAAATTTTACTCTATGAACCTCTGGGAAAAAACATTCAAATTATAAAAAAAAAAAACAAATTGGAGAGCGCTTATAAAAGCTGTTACACACTGAGTTATTGCTATGTCTGGGGAAGCAGGGCAACGCATATTCATCAAAGCTGTCTTTAGGCAGTGGATGCATACCTCTTCAGACATCCTCTCTAATCAAGCAGGAGAAAGAGGGATGCTACTCCCCAGAGTGAATAAATTAGATGAGCCTAAATTATTACAACTCTGCACTGATGCACAGTAAGGCCCATTTCTTTCACAGACTAAGAAAGAGAGAAGCTAAGTTTTGTCCGCCTTCCTCCCATTCTCCCAGAGACTAAACTAGTTCACTTCATAATGGACCCCAAATCAAATTAAATCTGCTTGTAATGATTAGATAAAATATGAAAGGCCTGAAAAGTAACAATATATTGTAAGTACATAAAAAGTGATACTTACGTTTTACAGAAAAAATTTAAAAATACAAATTAATTAGGTTTTTTTGGCCCAGCAAAATTCAGGTATTTTTGAGCTTAAACATTACAACCAGATTTAATTTACTGTGTCAATAGTGCATATATTCACTTGCACTTTTAACTAATTCATATTCCTCTCAGATCCGGTCCCAAGAATCAAATTGTATTGATGTTGTCTCCAACAGTCATTACAGGAGGCACACGTTTTGTAGCATAATCCATTTAAGGCTTTGAGATCTTATATGACACTGATTAAAGGAAATAACTGAAAAAGCACGTGAATATTATATACTACAGCAGCAGCCACTATATGGCTGATATAACTAATATCCTGCCTCCAAAGTATTTCTGGATCACCGGAAAACCGTCGTCTCAATTCAGGGTCCACATAAATCTACTGGGAATGTTTCACTCCTCAGTTTCTTGCCAATTCAAATGCTATTTGTACAGATCTTCCTAACTGCACAATCAGTAATTTTTCTCCCTCTCTTCCCTCAACACTTTGGCTTGAAAGGATAAGAAAATGATTACTGTCATAAATGGGAATGAGCAAATTTTACCTAAATAATTCAACTTCATTGTCTCCAAAAGGATTGCAATCATCTGGTCCAAACATACTGAGGTAGGCAGCTTTCATGTAAATGTAGGTAGCCTGCAAATGCAATCAAGAACATCCGTACAGAAAAATGAATTGACATCATCACCATTATTGATGAAAAGAACAAAATAGCAACAAAGAAGAAGAAGTTACTGCTTTCGCTTGCCAGCAGAAGTAATTCTACAAAATTTTAGGCAGAAAAATCTGCTTTCAAACACTGGTTCCAGTATTTCTGAAAGGGGAGAAAAGCAAATGATGAGGTTTGGGTTTTTGTTTTTTTTTAACCACGTATGCCTTTGTTTTCTTTGTACCAGCTTCTGTTCACATTCCAAGAACAACTATACAATTAAATATCATGCTTGTGTAGAGTGAATTTTTTATTATCCTCAAGAAAACACACTAGAAAAATTATGAAAGGGTCACGTGCAGAGAAGAAAATAATACATATGGTCTGTGTGTCCAGTCACAACTTGGTAGACTATGTCAAATATCAAGTCCTAGAGAGCACCAAAGGGTTTTTAAAGGGCCTCAAGACTTCAGATTATGAAATATACTGATCTCATAGGGATTCCTGAGCAATCATATATTCAGAAACCAAGGAAGGAAAGCAGCAGAGGACAGGACAACATTTGGAACAGTTGAGAATAACAGTTGGTGAATTCTTGAGTATTGATTTAAGGAGTACATAGTAACTGTAAGCTTCAAGAGCATATTTTAAGCTGTGATTCTTTATTTACACCAGAATCAAACAGTCCATATGTGTGGCCATCATTTACTTATTTGTTACTATTTTGCTCCTATCATATTGCAATGTAGGTTACCTATTAATACAGAAGCGGAGATGCTTCCTAAGACCCCTGAAATATACTATAAAACTCTACACATAATTTAAAAGCACATACATGTTAATCCTACAGTGTTTCAGGATATTAAAGCTTTTAGTTAAGTAGCGTTCCCCTCCTAAACAACACTTCCATAGAACTACTCGGACTAATACGTCTGGGCATCCTATGGCTTAATGCAATGCTGGAATCCTTCGGGTTATAAGGAGTTCCTACCGTAGTTTTTATTCTAAGCAGGAACACTGCAAGAGTTTCTCTCACCCGGCTGTTTTGAGCTTCTGTCAATTTTGGTTGCATTTGGCCAATATATTCAATACTGTAATAGAATAAACAGACAGAGATACCTCTCCTCCCACCACACACACAGTGTGATCACGTTAAGAAGAAAAATTAATCAACATCCGATAAAAACCCCATTCCCAGGACCTTCTGACGGATTTCCCTGGGGCTCACGTGAAGATGGAGGAAAGAAAACCACCAGGGTTCTGGACGGGAGAACTTCTCTCTTTCAGATGTACGAGGCAAGGTTCCTCTGCTTATTTCATTTATTACCTTAGAGGCACCATGGTGGCTAGCCTCGCTCATCACCAAAAGAACCTATATCCAAAAAACGGCAACTTGCCACTAATTGCAGTGTGTTGACTATGGGACCAATCAACCCACAACAGAGCATCTTTAACAGGCTGCTCTTCAACTGCCAATCAGGCCCAAAACATCTGTTTTCACAGAAACTGTTTAGATTTGTGTATTTGCACTTCACATCGTTTTGTAAGAGCTACAGCAGACCAGGTTTTGTTTTACAATCTTCGCTCAGTTCAAAGCTATAAAAAGTCAAGTCAATATGATCAAAAGTTAATAGATGCTACAGGGCCTTCCGCCCTTTGTTAAATATTTTGTTACTGTTCCACTTAACTTACCTTTGACCAAGTGTTTTCTTTGCTTAGCAGATCGGCATAAAAGAAAGCCATCTTCCACTGGCGCTTGTAGGTGAAGCACCACATAAGCTCCCAGTAACACATGTGATGAAACTGCTTCCAGTATTGCTGAGCCTCGCAACATTCTTCATACCTATTAACTGCCTGCACAAAGAGAGTTTCAAACACAACCCTAATTACCCGAAAAGGCACACACAGCAGCATTGTAACAGACACTGAGACTCCATGACCCTGGCTCCTGCAACTTCCAAATCAGTCAGAGCCCAGTATCCCCCCCGCCAAAATCATGTTTGTTGGCCTCACATAATAGGATGAGACCCAGTGCTCCAGTCATCCTGGTGTTATCAAGTTTACCCCTCCCACAGACTCCCCACTTTTGGGAGTTACATTCAGTCCTAAGTGCAGGAAAAATGAGTGTTTGTTCCTAGAGAAATTAAGAAACTAAAATCAGAGGAAAAACACTCAGCTGACATTTATTGTCATAGCTCCAAAGACTTCAAGAGAGTTACAACACTGCACACCAGCTTTCTCCCTATCTCAAAATATTTTGGATACATATTCTTCAACTCTCCAATTCCTTTAAGTCTTATGTAACTCTCCATCCAGACCGAAGGCAAAGGAATACCACTGGATGGTATTAAAGGCAGCACTCACTCCAGGATAGAGAAGACAATGAAAAAACTGTGTCACTAATACTGCAGGATTAAGTTACCACCAGAAATTTAGAAAGGTAGCAAAAGGAGCTGGTCAAACTGTTCAAAATTGTTTTCAAAATTCCTATTTGTTATTCATGAACTATAAATTACAAATAAACCAAAGCCATAGGAAGCACTACCCAAAGAGGAAACATTTTCTCAGAGAAGTTTTTCTAAAGCTTTCAAGACTTGCTTTTCCAAGAGCAAAAGGATGACTTACCGCATCAATATTACCCTTCAGTGTTTCTATCCTGCCTGCAAAAAACAGGAATATGGCTCCCTATAAAAAATAAAAATATAAGCATTTTATAACAAAGATCTAGACTGTATGGTCAGCCTGAAAATTGTTATTTGGCAGCGAAACACTAAACAATCATACCGAACTAAATTATGATTCATTTTACCTTTGGATAGCGAGCCAAGTAAGGCTTAAGTAGTCTTTCTGCCTCTTCAACATTTCCTTTTCCTGTCCCTAGATTGCATAAAAAATGCAAGTGATAAAAATAGGAAAAAAAAAGTACAGGAGGAACAGTACTGATTAGCCATCCTCACCTGGCCAACACATAAATTCCTCTCTCTAACGGCAGTGAGGCAAAAATACAGGTTGGTGCTGCACTAGCCAGGCATAAAGGAAAGAAACACATGAGGACCAGCATGGAATGGAGTAAAGATCCACTGTGCAAGAGTGAATGACTTCTGCTACTGTGAAGAGCCAACATTCAGGAAGACCCCCGACAACGCTGTACTTAGGAACTTGAAAATTTGCTTATGCATAGACCAACAGCATTGTAGAATGCTCTACAAGAAGATGACAGGGAGGAATATTCCCTCCATGGGAAGCTATCACCTCCCGAAAAAGACAGAGATGAAAAATAAACACGAGCAAAGTATTCAGGAAGTCATCATTTATAACCATTATTTTTAACATCCCAAATAATGCACCTGACTAGAGAAGATAGTTCTCATGACTTATTTTGCTGTCCCCATCTTCTCCTTTCTTCTATATTAAGCCTCTGTCTTGAAGATTAAGACATTCTCCTCACTTACAATCACTGTTGTAAAATCATCCACAAACGAGTTATCCACAAATTAGTTTAATCTGGTCCTGAACAACCAATTCACCAACAGATAGGTGATGGAATCACCTTTTTCCCTTCTGTGTCCCACAAAGAACTAATCAAATCAAAGAGTAAATATAAACAGTCTTACCTAACACAAAGGTCATGAAAGTATGATAGCAAAGCAACAGCATGGTACACAGCACCGACCTAAAGCTGTATGATGATGCTCCTTCTTGAAGCTGCAGCAGACCATGCTCCTGTGCAAACAGAGATGCAGAAGACAAAGCACTGAAAAATAAGCAAAGTCGTATTTCGCTAGTTTGATAACTTCCGCAGCATCATCTGTAGGCTGCTCACTCACCAAATGCCAAAAATGAACAGATATAAATTGCTTATATAGTAACCAAAGATAAAAACACACTAACAAAATTATCTTTTTCATGGAGTTACCGCTTGGCTTCTGGAAAATATGTGTGACAGAGGAGCAATTTGGGGTTTATTACATGTTAACATAAGAGAATGTGAGACAACTTATTATCATCATCCAAATGCTGTTAAACATCATTCCAGAAATAACAAACACAAAGAGTTTTGAAATGCCTGACAACTAGCATGTATCACCATTGTGCACTGTATCCACGTTTGTTGTTATTTACTGCCCAAGAAAGTTAAAGACATCAAGAAAAAAAAGTGTGACTAGCAGGACAAAGGATAATAGGGCAAAAGGATGCTTGTAAGTATATTAAGAACAAAAGAAGCCTTAGCAATGATGTAGGCCCACCACCCCAAGTAGAAAAATGTGATGGAAAGAAGTCGTGGCAGTCTTTGGAAAGAAGTAGAGCAATCGAGTACAACACTGCATCATGTTCAGTGAGAGCAAGAGAGAGAACCAGTGCTAGAGATTTAAAGTTCCTGTGGCAACAGCATTTAAGACCCCATTCTAGGCCTGCTTCCACGGTATAAATAACACAAACGTAAAGATGTAAATGTATGAAACAGGAGAGCTGCCTACCAGTGAATATGCACAGTAAGATGTCCACTGTGTGCCGGGGCAAATTCTGTTTAAATTATAGAATGACCGCAATGGAAAATTATTGGAACGTAATGTACGTGCCTATAAGGATATCCACTCAAATGAGCTACACTATAAAGAGCAACTCTGAGGGATGTTTATTGGAGCCACTGTGGAAGGTATCACAGAGAGTTATCAGAGCATGATCTGAACATAGATTTTCATCTTTTGTGTGTCCTTGCTGACAGAAGGGTGTTACACTGCATGACCTTTACCACTTGCTCTGTACACCCTGAAGCCTGCAATCGCATTCTAGTTTTGGTCATACATGTACATTTTCACATACTAGTGTAGTTATTTGTTTCCACATGAATGCAGTTACTTTGTGTTTTAATAAAGTTTAATTTATTGCACTAATTACCGTTACGGGGAAAGGGACCGTTAACACACAAATCTGCAGGTCATTTAGTCTGACATCTGGACAAAATAATGAAAACATTGACTTGCATTTCACTTCAGAAGAATTACAAAATAGGAAAATCATTACTGAAAACCAGCATGATTTTAGGGAAATCAAGCTCTAGCAAATAAACCTAGCTTCATTTTCTGCTGAGAGTTAAAGTTTGACTGATACAGGTGACTAACAAAAGATGATAAATTCGCCTTCTTTAAAGTGCCTAGATTAACAAAACAAACATACGGTTAAAAAAACAAACAAGCAAATATATGATTAAAAAAAAAAGTAGCACTACAGCACTACAAGATAGCAATAAGACAAAAGATTCCGTGGAATAAATTCTGGCAGAAAAAATTCCAAAGTATATTTTTCAAGTGAAATACCCCCAGCCTGAATGTTTCAATGAGCCATTAAGGACATCAGTACGAGGTCTTATGATGTTTGACATCTTCCATATAATGTAAAACTACGTAGAAAATGGTTGCTGATCACATTTGTGAATAGCACAAAGAACGACAGATAAGCAAGTGCTACTAGTTATTAAGAGCAATTTGCCAAGCTGATCCCAATTATGTATTTTAATCCCAAAAATGCATTTTAACATTGCTGAACACAGAGTTATTATCTCTATGAACAATGAATGCAGACCATATCCACCCCCTGCAGGACTGTGTCCTGGAAAGCAATAACCGTGAAAAGGATCAAGAACACTGCCCATTCACCGGACGAGAGGGCTGCAAACCTGGCATGCTTTAGCCGAAGTTCTCAAACTGAGTATATGCACAGCTTTGGGAAGCCCACTCGGCAAGTTAGGTCACTCTGAGTTATGTCTACAATCCTATTTTATCCTTTACAGTTATTATAGAATGCTTATTTTTCACTGTTACTTGAACACAACAAACTTGCTATATTAGAGTAACAATGCAATCATAGACACGGTCTGAAAAAATAAATAAATTATCATGAACGTTTACTTGTAGAAAAGGCTGCAACAAAATTTCTCCCAAAAAACCTCTTGCAAACTGCTGCTGTTATGATGAGATCACCAGTAAAGTGGGATCATGAAGGGTGAAGCTGGGAAACATGTTCTAGATACCAGTTTTAGTTAGCCTGTCTCCCTGGGCTCTCTCTGGAGCCGGTGGAGATGGATGTATTCCACTAAGGAGCAATTCCGCACAGAAGCCTAAGTCAGACATTGTGAATCACCTTTTCAAGCGTCTACGTTTTTTCACATGGAGCCTACGGAGATTCGTCAGCTAACCTAAGCTAAGTGAGGTGTCATGAGGCAACACTATTACACCCATATAATCTTCAGTAGGGATGAAACCGAGGATCTCGCTATCAAAAGCGCAAGCAGCTATTACTTGAGCTTAAGAAGTAACTCAGTAAACAAACTATACTCACTGGTGTCACTCACTAAGGGCATATATTATGTGTAATTGCTAGGACACACCTTCTGACACACACAAAAATACCTCTCACAACTATGCCACAGATGATACAAGCAATCCCAAAACACCAGGACTGTGCTTCCAAACAAAGTCTATTACAGGGCATATTGCTATCATATAAAACAGATGTTCAGGCAACAAGCATTAGTAATTTCTCCAAAATAATTAAATGACATATTAATATATACTTAGTTTTTCTATTCACACAAGATTTAGGTTACTCTAAAGAGCATCAGGTAATAACACAGAGCTGGAAGCAATGACACACTTTTCTCACAGACAAATGTTGTAATCCAACATGACAAACCTTATCTTTCTGTGAAAGTTAGTCACAGCACCCCATGCCCTTTTAATTCCCACTGCATGACAGGAAAAGCAATATGCCAGTGGTTTGAATCGTATTCCAGGAACTCCAAAGTTCTGTCATCGAGGACTCCCCACGGGAACGGTGGGGATGCACACAGTGAGTGCGGAAAGAACAAGGACGATGTTCAAAATTATTATTAGACAATGTACAGACTGCTTCATACCTATGTCAGCTGTGACTAAAATCACTCTGCTTTCCTGAAGTAAAAGCTCTCCAGCGATACTTTTAAGTCATCTTTTTTAACTAGGGTTCTTCATAAAAAAAGCAAAACAAGATCAACGTTCATATGCCATGACTTGATCACATTACTTCAGGCTTAGCAAATATGACGGATGTTACTACTAGCTTCTATGAAGAGCTGACTAGCCAAATTGGAAGAGAGGGCATTTGAATGCATCCACTGAAATAATTTCAGATTTAACTTTCATTTAAAATTTACAGAAAAGACCAAAAATGCAAATCAAAAAGATGTCTAGTGGGAAACTGGAATTCAATTTATTTCAAACTGAGACATCAAAAATATGCTTCAGTTCAACTGCTTTGGGAAAAACACACTCCTACATCAAACAGTATAATTTAAAAGAAGTTGGTTCTATCCGAAAAATCTCCTGCCTTTCCCTGAAATCACGCTGTCAGCTGACCCTCTGCCAAACTGCATGTAACATACAGAGGGTTAATGTCAAACTTTTATGTGGTTGAGCAGCACAGTATTTGTAGTATACTATAAAATAAGAACAACAGTAAATATTAGCCCGAGACCTAGCAGAGGGTCAGTAAGAAGGGCTGGATGTTTTGGGAGAACGCAGAAGTGATGGTGCAAGGATTCTTGAGATCTTGCAGCAAAGGGCAGTCACTGTTAAACACACGAAGTGTGGATGGGACACCTTCTCCACCTACCACCTGGTGAACAGGGCAGGCAAGCCTCTCCAGTTAGAGCACAGTGTAGCTGCCTCTGTGCAACGTATACCTCAGCGCACAAAGAACTTCTCATGAAATCAGGCAAAACTACATTCCTGTGCCTTGAACCTCAATACCCAAATGCAGGGCTATGCCATTAAACACAAACAAGCCCCTTGTTTAGCTAATGACACAGGGGAAAAGGGACCTTGAACAGTGAGAATGGCACAACTGGCACATCTTGTAGCGGCCTCAAGCTATTTTAATACTTTCGTGATCTACCCTACCCACTGTTTTGAGATTCCAGACTGCTGTTGACTGTGCTGTCCACAGTGCCCGCAAAAGGCTTAGGAAGTAATCAAGCTCTGGGCACGTCCTCATTTACTAGCAGACATAACACGTCTGAGAAACAAGGAGAGTCCCTAGGGGCAAGTCTGCTGGCTTCAAGACAGATTAGCATTGTGGAAGATATCCCAATGCAATTTTATATCCAGTTTTAGTAAGCACATAACCCACAGCAAAGCTGTCCTCCAGTGCACTACAGCTCTCTCAGGTAAACTACAAGCTGCTCAAGGCACTAACGATGGTGCTCTCATGTTTCAAACAGCCTGATGCTCACCATGAGCATTTAATTGAAAAGATCAAATGATCAAACACAGACATATTCAGAATTCCTTTCTTCCAGATGGTGTGCACGTAACACACACACGCTCCATCTCCGACTCTGCTACTGTTTTTTTCACCTTCAAACCCCTTGTCTGTACTGCAGGGGACAGCTTCCTCTTGCAAGCTTTGGAAAACCACCACTGGAAAGGATTACAAACGCAACTGCAATTTTGGTTCTGGCTTTGGGCATCTGACTGACTAATGTTAAATGCAGAAAGACTTTTTTAGGATGTTAAAATAAATGACTATCAGTGAACTTTGACCCATGTTGTCTAAAATATTATTTTCTTTATGGTGTGGAGAAAAGAAGTTTTTGCTCATATTTACGGTAGTCTAGGTCAAGCTTCAGTCAGTTACCAAAAAACTGGAACAAGAGCTGACTCATCAACGCAAATTTTAGCCCACTCACAGCCATATAGTTCAAGAAATTAAATTAAGAGGGAAAATTGTAATCAGCAGTAAAAAAAGATGAGTGTTCTCCAAAGTAGCCTCAAAACTCGCCTGATATGTGGATTACCCTTACGTTTTCTAGGTGAATATTTTGCTCTTTGTTTTCATGGTTGACAGGTATGAACTATTCAACTTTTACATGCCAGTTTTACAGGCAGTAGAGGTAAAACTGGTTAACTTCTGGGAATTTCCAGGTTCTAATCCACACTCTGCCAAAAGCTCCTTGCTTTTTAACAAGACACTTTATTTTCAGATCTAAGATCCTTCCTGTAAACTAGTAAAACAGTGATGACACTAACCCACCTGTCACCGAAAGGTGCAGCTCTGATTAAGGAAATACACGTTTCTCCTTGAAACAGGTTTTGTAAACAGGAAGCTTTTTATAAAAGAGTTAAGTTTTAAAATGTTTGTATAGCTTTTGCCATGTTTGCAGGACATTAAATACTTATCTTACCCAGCATTTAGGAGATAAATGTAACTAGTAGATTAGGTTAAATATACCATGTTTTCCTAATCCAGGAACCCAACTGCGAGTGAATCTCATGTTCTGGTGGTAGAACCAGAGAAAAGGGCAGGTAAGAGGTATCAAGGTCAAGATGTAAATAATTTCCATCAATTTTAATATCCTGTTTTGAAACAACAAATATGCAAAACCTAGCACAGCAGGAGTATCTCTTTCTGTGTATCTGTCCTGCATTATACCTGACGTTCACATGAGTTTGCTGATGTGTCATTGCTAAACCTCTGTCCTCTACCACATGCACAGACAATATTGGTCAGACCTATTACTCTTCATGCAGAGATTCTGGGGAATTTAGGTGCCACATTCAAGTTACCAGTTGCTAAAGACATGGAAGGGAAAAAAAAAAAAAAAGAGAGTGAGAAATGAAATTGAAAGTCTTTTTTTTTTTTTTTCCCCCTTCCCTCCAACTGGATGTCATGCAGGAATATGTCAGGGACATTCAGATAATGTAAAGACTGTATAATTTACTAAAGACTAAGAATATACATTTGGCTACGGCTTTCTAAGTACAAGTATATATCAAACACCAGTAAGGAAAAATAAATGAAAATATTAAATGCGTCAATATCATCGTATTAGCCGTTGCCTTTATCACGTTTCAGCCTTCCTCACTGAATCACCATCTTTGAAGTGTAATAGTTTGGACAGAAACGTAAAAGAAAACTGAGCTGCATAAAGCATCTATGCCAACAATGAGCACACTGCAATACCAATCGGAGTATTTCTGACTGTTACAGTTAAAGTGAGGAAGGAGAGAGAAATTCCTGTCTCCATTTTTTAATGAGTGAGGTAAAAGGAATATTTATTTCATATTTACCTTGTTTCCAGAAAATCCAACAAACTCCAGTAATCTCAAAATTCGTGCAGGAAACATGGACAATGTCTACCAAAAGAAATGCAACAGTTATGCAGTAACAGCTTTCACTTCCCAGTTGCAGGTTGCCTGATACAACTCTTCCAAATGCACAGAATAGTCAATAAAAATCACTAAAAACGTCTTTACATGTCTGAGGATTTCCTGTGTAAATGGAAATACAACTGATACATTTTACACATGATTGAAGCAGAAGTATCAGTTTCCCATAGGTCTCCGGCATCTCTCTCTAACAGTCCCTGCACAGAAATATGTTCTGCACAGCACATGCTCAGCAACTCCAGTACTTCTGGGATGTTTCAGAAACACTGGGTGCATACCACACCACAGTACATGTTTGTTGTGTGTGTGCAGTAAATCCAACACTTGGGCATGTGTCAGACTCATATGCAGTAAGGAAAGCACTTTCTGAAAGCATTAGTTCCACTGTATATGAATATATGTATACGTGCAGCACTCCAGCTCAATAGGTGCAATCAGACTGTAGGTTCCCCAGACTTCCAAGACAAGTACACGACTGTACTCTGCAGTCATGACTGCGATTCATGTATATGTAAAGTCCTGTGTATAAAACTAACAGCAGCTCAAAATGATGCTGTTTACTGCATTTTGCAGAGTTTACTTACTCCTACTTACACTTAGCACCCTTCAATGCAAGTCGTCAGGTCCCACAGACTTGTATGTATTCTGTTTGTACAGATGGTCCCCAACTCAACTCTGCTCTACTATCAGAGGTTTGCAGCCCCCAGTTTCTCCCTAAGTTGTAGTGAAAAGGCAAATGGAAGCCAGGCACAGGCATCTGCTGCTCCTGCGTGAGGCTTCCCCCAGCCAGCAGTCCCTTCTTGCAAGACTACTCCTCCCCTCTCCCCCAAAACAGCTCCCAGCACTGGTCAGTCACTTGGTTAATGAACTGGCTGCTGTTCTTGCCGCAAACGGAAGCTGGGCACAGACACTCAAGCTATACCATCAAAGAACATGCCCTTAGTCCCTGCCAGATGAGATCATTTCTCAGTTTTTAATTGCTCCATGAGGATGTGCAGGTGGGGCTGCACACACACAGAGCTGGACTGCCCAGGTTATGGGTAGCAGGTTCACTCATTATTTCTAAAGCGTATTACTATCTGATGTTGTTAGACCGGAGACCGGGATCCTGCAAGTATCGGCACACATACCTAATTTTAACCTTATCATTATTTTTTAGTGATGTCAGTGGAACTTCTCGGGTATTTAAGTTAACAACGTTTTCAGGAGTTTGCTGGACTTCCTCTAAAGCAAAGAACTGCTAGTACATACCAAATTAAATGCTCCAACTCCAAGCTTTACACCTCCTTCAAAATGAAGATGGTTCTCCCCTTTGACATAATGTGGAGACTGCATGAGACTGTCCAGCTCCCTGAAAATGCAGGAAACTGTGTTACAAGTGAATAAAATGGTTAATACTTTCTTACTGAATTGTAATTAGTAACCCAATTACCTTGAACTACACAATAGTTCAAACAAGGTAAATTTTTTCATCTCATCAAGGTGGACACCACCTACATTTTGGTGGGTTAATCAACAAGCCATTACATTACCATCAATTCAAAAATATGGACTTCTGGAGGTGAATTCCTGTCAAACACACATAGTCCATTTACAGCCACACACGCGGGAGCAACATCAACCTTTAGTATAACAAAAGGAGACAATGGGCAGTGCAAGAGGGAGGAGAGGAGTTTATAGCTTTTAAATTACTAAATTTAATTTGAGTTTCACTAATCCCTGCACTAATTATTCCCTTTTTGTGAATGTCCAAACAAAAGAAGAGTATTTTGTTACAGATAGGAAAATATGATTGTAGGAAATATTTTTAAATAGGACAGACAAAAAAAAGAAGTGAAAAGCATGTTTCAGTTATTATAACTTTCCTAGATCCCAAGTTTGTAGCAGCCCTTGAATTCCCTAACCTGAATGAATTTGAAGCTCTCTTGTCTCCAAGCTTGCAATAGCTATGTGCCTTTCACATTATTGTTTTAGCTTATTTCATCAATTACTGGGGGGAAAAAAAAAAACTGTTTTAAGAGCAGCCATGTGCTTGCGTTAAGGCTGTCATGTTTTTATCTGCTGGTCGTTGCCAACAGATATAAGATTATTTATTGTAACTGCAGTCTTAATAATGGACCTGCATTCAGAGCTACCTTCACCCCACACAAACATGGGTACTGTCATCTTTCTCTCTTTCGCTATATTTCTGGAGAGCTCAGTCTAGATGCTGTTCTGTGTCTGGTACCTGTGACTTTTTGTGGCTGTTCCAAATTTAAAACCTAAATAAAAAAGAATAAGATGTCCTAAAATGAAACAAAGTATGATGCATATTTAGCTTTCACCTTTTTAAATTATTCATATAGTCTGTACTGCTGTATAGTTTCCTCATACTTTTCATGCACTGACAACAAGCAAATGTTTCATTCTGAGTTATTTTATTTAATTCCATCTTTTTACAGTGTAGGGTATCTTTTCCTCCCTGAAAAAAGAATTTTAAAAACTGTATCTTTGCAACTTTTACCCCTGCTGTATTTGCCAAGGAGGCTGTTGTTGCAGATTACCAAACCGTGCTGGAGGCAGTGGGGGAAGAGAAGATGGCTTTTAAAGTCAGGAACTATGGTGTGAAAAATACTTAAAGCAAATAAAGTCTCTGTTCTATATTTCATTAGGTAATCTCTGTAACCTGCTGTGCCACTCGCTCACCAAAACTGCAAACAGTATTTCTTGACTCATCAAACATACAGTACAGAAATCCTAACTACCAATCTCATATATGAACTTCCCCACTGTCAAGTACATGTTTTAGTACCATGCAAGTTGATACTTACACTTCTTCAAATGGAGACCACATAACAGCTACTAAGCTGATAAGACTTTGTCTTTAAAAATACTAGAGTTGCTGTTAACTTACTGAGGCACAATCGAATGCATTTCCTATGGTCTACTTTGCAATGTACCTTTTTACAATTTACCGCTGTACTTCAAAACGTTTTGCGCATGTTGAAAGTAGCTCCATATAACTTTCTAAATGAAAAGAGATCTGCTTAAGCAGATGTTTTAGGCTTCTAGACTCCAAGGGATGGGCACAGCATGAGTTCAGATAAGCAGCCGTGCTTATCATCTTCAATGGCACGCACTTTCTCTTTAGATCTGCCATACTTAACCAGGTTAAAGGTCCAGCGAACCCACGATTTCACTCAGACAATGGCAGATGCTTGGGAAAGCATCCCCTAGGAACTGACTGTTCAGGAACTTCATGATGTGGAGAGACTGCATCTGCTCTCTTATGGTAACTAGTAAACCTATTTCCCCTAAATTTGTTCAGTCATTGCTTGAAGCCATTTATACCTTTTAATTACAAACTCTTCACTTAATTGTCTCTTAATTTTATTTTGGTTTCATGTATTTATTAGTGAATTATTTGTGCTTCAGCTACTGGTTTTGAAGGTTCTAAAGGTAAAGTTGCAGCTAGAACTATAAAGAAATGCCGTTTCAAATGCCGCATGACTTGTGAGTCATCCAAATTCTGCTGTGAGACAAAACGAACACCACACCACTTAGAATAGTTTTATTTCTTGACATAATGTTAATGAGATCATATTTAAAGTAGGCACCTTAGGAGTGAACAGGGATAGGGTCCACTATCTTTTTTTCCATTAACCGTACATCTCATACAAACTTACAATCTGAACCAAACACAGTATCACTGTCCTTTCCTATGCAAAGAAGACATTTGTGTGGACAGAGGTTGGTTCTAGATGTGAGGCCATAATAAATACAGCAGTAATTAATTATTTGTGAATTACAGAATTCCACCAGCAGCACTTTTTAATTGAAAGAGTATGTTTAACCATATCATCACTCTGACTTACCTGTACGTTTGGTAACTGTTTCTGACTTTGATGCCTCCTTTGATGAAGCTAACCATATTCTCATCCTGTGAGAAATGAAACACTTTAGCGATATGAATTTGTGCACGTTATGAAGGGCTTCTGTTTTCTGGAGATGAACACGTTTTGAACACAACCATTGTGAGACAGACAGTATAAATCTCTAAGAAACATACATAGATTCAGGATTTCCTTTCTAATTAAAAAATTTTTACTGTGTTCAGATACATTCACTTTATTTTGATGCCTTCTGCGATTAGTTTATCCTCTATGGGCCTCTGATGGCATCCTCCAACGACCTCTGGGCCATCAGAATTTGCATTAGCGGACACCGGAACAAAGCTAATGAATGGCATCTAAGGTGCATGCACTTGTGGCTGTTTCAAAAAAATAGCTTTCTGTCATTTGTCCTTCAGCACAGTTAAATGCTGAACGTTTCTTGGCTCAGCACCAGATGCAAATAACTACCTGCCCTAATGAGTCTACAGAACATAATTTCACATACTAAAAAGGAGGCAGAGTAAGCAAAGTAATGCAGGACATGCTCTTTCTGACCCAAATATTCAAGTATATATGAGATCCACGCTAGTATAGTAATACATCACATCTCAAGCTATAACAAACTGAAAACTTGTAGGAAAATATATCTGTAGGACCTTCAGTTTATAGCTGTATCTCAGAGGGATTTCATCAGCCTCACAACTTTCTGGTAACTGTTTCTTGCCTCATTCGTCACCTCTAATTCATCATTCTGATTGGTTCCGATATCTGCTGTTACTTTAGGATAGAAAGACTACATGTGTTTTAGCAGATGATTTTTCTGTGATCATTTTTTGAGAGGCTCTATCAAACACTGTGGGGAGAAAACAGCACGGATAAGATGAGCATTTGGTTGTTACATTGTTATCATTAAGAAAACGGGGTCCAATTGCTCTCATCGATTCGTAAACAAAGAGACAGAAACTGCCCCAAAGAGCCCTCTTGTTTTCCCTTAAGTCAGGGAGATAATTCAATCCAATCAAAGTTACAGAAAAGGAAGTTCAGAAGAAACCGAACTATGAGCTAGTACAGGAAGCCTACTGGCCTGAGTTGAAGGGCAGGATTTTATCCCTGAGGCCTGCAACACGACCACTGACCTATCTTTCAAGGTCATCCATAACCATCCCAATCACATGTAAACAAAACATTCACAGAAAGATGTGACCCTGTTTTCCTTTGTTCAGTAGAAAAAAATCAGTTTTTTGTTACCAATTGCAGATGTGTGTGTTGGGTGGGATGGCATACATAATCATATCTAAAGGTCTGCTTATATTTTCCTTTGAACAGAAAATGGGGAGAAGAAAAAAAGATGTTTTAAAAAATGTAATATTTACTTCAGTTTCAGACTAAAAATTCAGAATACTCGTTACTAAAAACGAGGATAACCAACACGACAATACTCCAGCTCCTGAAAAATCCTGAGACTAATTTCTGTGTGTGTTTTCAGTAGGGTTTGGTCATTTACATTATGCATCAAAACTAACCCACATCAGTAGCTGTTGGAACCAAGTGCCTTTGTTTAATTTTTAAAACCTGTTCATGAAAAATTAAACACAGAAGAGAAGAGGAAGCATACAAGCAGGCATCCTGTATGCAGAAGAGCACAAAGATAATTGAGAAAATAGCATTTAAAACCAAAAGGCCCTGCAATAAAGACTCCTTTCTTAGAGCCACAACGGACAAGTTCTGAAAAATATTGCTGCTATAGCTTAAGGTATCACCCCAACTGTCCCAACGCCAGAGGCTACTAATCCCAGAGAAGCAGAAATAGGGAAATAGGTAGCTGCCTCTCAAGCCATTTCAAAGTCCAGCATCTTATTGTATAGGCACCACTATCAGCACTCTCAAAAACCTTCAGAGGTAGCTCTTTCTATTACTGGCCTTGCTACAAAGCAACAGGTCCCAGCAGAGGGGCATGGTACATAGCTGAGAAAGCTGACCTAGTTCATAAATTATCATAAGCATTTATCAGAACCCATCTAGCAGCTCCTCAAAATAATAAAATCACCACCTGCACTTCTTTCTCTATCAGCATCTTCGAGTGAAGAAGCACAAGCCCCTCCATGAATGTGACTTTTATCATCTTCTCCCCACAGACAGAGAGACATGCTGTCACATAGCAAGTACAGTCAAATCAAGAAGAAAAATCAGTCATTCCAATTATCATTAACAGCTTAAATTGCAAGCTGGAGCCCAAATGTTAATTCCTGAGGCAAATCAAACTTCCCTATTCCAGACGGATGAAATACAAAGAGGGAGTATTCCCCTTCTTTCAAAGACAGGCAGCACTGCTTAGTGAAATTCATGCGTGGAACCTAACGGCGAAGTAGGTAACAGCACGCGTTCAGAACAAAGAAGTGAGAAAGCAGTCTTGGGAAAGCAACCATCAGTCTGACTGAAGCAAGATCTCCCTTGCATTTCAGCACAGCACAGCTACAGTGACCATCTCTTTTTGATCTGTATCCCAACACACAATATTTGTGGTGATATTTCACATATCCAAAGGGACGGGAGAAGGACATTTTGGGGGATTCGGTGCTACATGTATTGAGATGAGTATTTTTAGATAATCCAGAGGCTTAACAAGACATGCTAATATCACCCCAGCAGATCATTCAGAAAAAAATCTAGATTTAATTCAGATGAATTCAGATGTTTCAATCCATTATACTAAACTAGGGTCTTTTAACATTTTATTAGTTTTAATAAACAAAAACAGTTACGTGGACATTGCGCTACTTGCTTTCCAAGAACCAAATAGGAATCTGTACCTGTAGGAATGTGAGCGCTGCTCTCTGAAGTAAACATTCAGCATAGCAAATTTCTGCATGGATTTCCTCTAGCATTACACAGAGGGAGAAAGAGAAAACAAATTCAATCAGACAAAAACTAATTAAAAATGTATTTTGATCATTTATAGAGGAATAAGCTCACAAATCAAAGACTGAGAAAATTCTTTCCAAATTGGCTGCGCTGTTCAGTTCTAGGCTGCTGAAGTAATCCAAAGAGTAATGCCACATGGCTATAGAACCTTCCTAGAAATTTCCCTGAATTCTTGGATCTAGAACCCTTCTAGGCATTTCCCCACTTCTTTCTAGAGATTCTTCATCTAGCAATTTTTGGAAATACCAAGAACGACCAAAAACTCTCATTTTCAAAGTGGTGATACAGCAATTTGCCAAAACAGCAAACCAGCCATATTGGAAGTGCCAAGACAGCAGTTTTGTCAGTGACCTGGCAACTTGCAAAAAACATGCTGGGTCAGCAACTCTATACAATTGCAATTCCAGGGGAAAAAGAAGAAAGCATTAAGTGCATCAGAGGTAGTGTTACCTTCAGTAAAGTGTTCAAGGCTTTGTCTATGCACAAGGTTGTTGAAGGAATCGGCTACTGTAGATTTCTTCCTAAACCTGCAGAAAAAAAAAATCAGTCTGGTCATTCGGACAAAAAGTACAACCAACAGAGAACGGCACCTTTCAGCTGGCCATCCATGCAGGCACTAACATTGTTAACTCAGTGTTAACAAACCCTCTGTTACTCTGCCATCTATGCAAACCTGAGCATCTTCCATACAGAATCTTGCCAACATGGATATCCTGGGATCTGTCTTTTTTCCCCTTTACGCACAGAAAAACGTCTTGATGGTGGAAGGAGAAAAGCAGGCTTTTTGATTCATTTTGTGTATGTGTGTGTAGAGAAGCAGGAACATGGCTGGTTCAGAAAAACAGCTGGCTATGGTACAATCATCAAATGGAAAGATTTTGCACTGTTCATAAACAGCAAATGGCCTCCAGACACTGCAGAACTGGGGGGAGAGAGAGGACTAAAATCTAATTGATAAGAAAAATCAGATATTGCAGTAAATTAAGGTGTGCAAGATCAGACTGGTGAAAACCCTTGGTAACATCACCTCATAGATGAGCCTCTTTAGAGCAGGAAGCTGGGCTAGAAGACCTTATGCTGTTCCTTCCAGCCTAAATTTTCCTACAATTCCTATGAAATGACATGTCCTCTTTTAATCCATGTATCTTCCAGAACTGTTCCCTGAAGGGACTGTTAACTGAATTTCTCCACACTTACTTTTGGCAGGTGGCTTGAGCTTCTTTCATTGTGTTTCCTGCATTCAATATATCCTGAGGATCAAATGTCATCATAGCTTGCATTTCCAATATGGTGGCGTAAGTGAGTGCATGATACATACTGTCTTTAGTTCTGCAGGAAAACACAAGATGCTGAAGCATAGCTGATCTGATTTTATTATTACTTTTAAAAAACAAATACAAATCCAAAACCAGGACCATATTAGTCTGATAGGAACTAGGTCTGAATGAACCAGAAATCAAACACAAAGGACGTGTAAAAGGTTAACATAATCAAGAAATGCTGAGAGATTCCTATTTGTACAGAAAATCATGTCTACAGCTCCAATATCAATAACTGCTAAAATATCCCAATTCTGAGCTGAGGATAGGTATTTATCATACATAACAAAAAGCACAGGAATTAACCACACATAACCATTCAGAGACAACAGAATCATTGCCTTCCTAATGAATTATCTAATGAACAGGTGACAACAATTCAGATCTTCTTCTTCTATTTTGGCACAGTTGCTCAGGAAAGAATCAAGGAGGTAAGTAACACAATACTATAACAGTGGCCAAAGTAAAACCTTCATCATACAGATCTTCCTATCAAAATTGGTCTAGTCTTAGCCAAAGACCACAGCTTTTTCTTTCTCTCCCCTTCTGCCAATCTCCCACCTCAATCTGTCCAACTTAAATACTCTTCTGCAGGATTTCAAATGGTGCCTATTTAAATAAAGTCAAAAACTTTTGCAAGAATTCAGGAAAAACAAGTAACTCCTATCTGTAGTCATTGCAAGCACCTCTCTTCCGGCAGGAAGAGGGTTTATAGACTGCACACATTGACAGCATTCTCCTAGCACCCCTGTAGGTTATAATCCCCTATAAATTAAAATATCTTCCAGCCTAGGAGATCCAATAAGGAAGACTTGGGAAACAAGCTAAACAAACAAACAAACAAACAAAAACCTGTGATGAATTCCTGCCATGGAAATTCTCTGCGGACCTTGTATTTAATTCATCCCTGACAAACAGCATGACTTAGAAAAACATTGCTAAAGAGCAACAATTTTACTGTAATTGTTTACACTTTTAGAAGGGATCAGTTAGTCCTGCATAGCATGGAATATTCAAGTATGTTTGCAATAAAACACGGATATCCTTTCAACAAAATTTCCACCCTCAATATACTCATTCTTAATATGTTTACTTCACATGCTTGTTTTTCAAGGTGAACCACTTCCTTTTCTTTTTCTTTCAAGGAGAAAGTGGCTTTGTTTAAAGGGGAAAAGCCAAACTTTAAAGACACCTCAGTCCATTTACTTTCTCTCCCTGGGAATCCATGGGCCTCCCCAGATTTTGATACCCGGACTGAACTGAAAGATAGTTTTAAGGCTAACTTTTGAAACAGTCCTAAATTAAACAGTGATCCAATAACCTGCTGTGATGATCTGAATCCTTTCAAATTTTCCAAGCATTCATACACTATTACACATTAATTCCTTTGCTCGATAGAGTGAGATAAATGCCCCTAAGTATCCTCAGGAGTCCCTGATGTTTGCTTAATGTTTTCCAGAGCCAAAAAATAACATTTGTTACACCTAAAGTAATTGCCTCTCAGTGATACTAAGCAACTAAATCACCAAAGAAAAATCAAAGTGATCATATGATCTGGGCTTACTTTATATATATATTTCTTGAGATCTAGATATTAGAGTTTCATTCTTTATTTCCATGCGCTTCCCCTTGCTCTTTTACTGCTCTCAGTTTCACACTTACCCATCTTCTTGGTTAGAACAGCTCCCAGAGCAAGTTCCTCTACCCTACTAAATGACCTCATTTTTGCTTTTGTTCTGCAAGGGCAAGCATGTTTCACCACACAACGAAAAGAGTTACTATTTCAACTGAGTATTTCCATTAAAACCTTAATAAACTCTTTTTTTTTTAAATCAGAAAGAACACAATAACATCTCATATTGTAATTTGGACTTATTTTCAAAATTCCAGTGGTGGTAAACTGGCACCACAGAACTCCAGCACTCTAATAATGGTTCCACAAGTAACTAACAGAGAGGTAATATAACTTTCCCACACCTACCAGCAATACTCATTCATACATCCAAGGACTGAAATTACCTTTTCAGGTATCTTGCTACTAGAATTAATATTTCACCCTCACCTCCAGGCACTTTTGGGAGATTATTCCCAGAGCGAAGCCAACTGCCCTATGTTTATCATTCTCAGACTCATAATCCTGCAAACAGCAACACAGATGTGTTACATCTTATCCAATGATCCAGATTACTCTGTGTCATGAACTCATCTTTGCTATTTACCATTCTCCCAAATGGTTTGTCATCAGCAAACTATCGGGTAATTATTTCATGCTTTTCAGAACATTGATCAAATTAAACATATGTCTTGGGGAAGGGAAGAGGAAACCTCATCAGAAACGACTCTTTGAATGATGATGATGATGATATGTTTGTGATTACGCAAGAGCTAAAAATCCAGTCAGCTTTTAATTCCTTTACTGTACGCATCTTGGAGTTGAGGAGGAACATGAGATTCATCCCTGCCCCAAAGACTGGACAGTTTCACAGTGTTACTCGTTTTCACAGTTAATGGGATAGATGTTGAAAATCACTGTTGTGTTTGTTGATTGAATTTAAAGAATTTATTGGAGTTCTAAGGCTTAATATGAATATTCTATATTAAAGATTAAATTAATTAAACCTAGTGCAGAAACCAGGAGAGAGTGGGAAGCCACTGTTGTATAATGAGCATTAGCAATAAGAAAGAGAAAATCGACTCTAAACCTAAAAGGTAGCTGCAGAAACAAAGTTATGTAACATGAAACAAAAAAAGCCAAATTAAAATATTTATGAAACTACATCTCTTCTTTATGGAGGATATGTTTTTCTAACAGGAAAAAAGAGCTTTACTTCAACACAAGTCTAGACATCATCCCTGGAATTTATTTTTAAGCTGCTAGGAAAGATCTGCTGGTTTTAACTCTCATACATTGCCAAAATTTGTTCTCAGTTACACATGGTACAAATCAGCTGGAGATTGTGAGTGGAAGCCAAATGTGAGTAATTTAGTGAATGTGCAATAACGTAATACAAAGCAGAGTATGTCCTACAACACAAGTGGTAAAGCTGCAAAAATCTAAGATGAGAAATTCTTTACAAGCATGTAAAAACTGAAAAGTATTTTTTAAACAAAGATAGCATGTTTATAGACTGTGAAAACCAATTTCAAATCTCAGCACGCTAAACGGCAACAATGAGGAACTGATGACTCCCAAAGAAAATACTCAATATCACCACATGTGCCTACTCTACAACTCTTGTCATTCCCTAAGGAGGTGGAGTGTGTCTATAAGGGATATCATCTGTAGTGAAATGTAGCTTCCAGTTTCTGCATTACGCTCACAAAGATCATAATTCTGTATTTCACTCACTGTCAACAGGATAGGGGCCTCCTCTTAACAACAGGCTAACATGAAAAATCAGTTTCAAAATGGTTTTGCAATGTGGAATACATTCATATTCCAGGTGCAAAGACAGAATGTCAGCCCATGTAATGAATTCTGCAGGGCCCAACAAAAGCAGAATGAAAACCACATGCAATAGAATAAAAATGGATTTGCAGAAAAAATACACAGCTTCACTAGCTTTTGCAGCATTTTGGAAACTGCCTCCCCGTTTTTTGCAAAGACCTGGGTAAGCGTTTCCAGATGGGTACGGGGGATTTACTAACAGAATTTAATGAGAATGCAGTCGTTCCTCTTACCGTTTTTATGGTATCTTCTGATGATATATAAACACAAAACACAACAGTGCTGTAAATAAAATCAGTATTAGGAATACTTCTGAGCCCACAATTTATCAAGAATAACTTTTACAGAGTACACTTAAGTGGGTCATCTACGGACTTCGGTGTCAAAGATTGAGGTTGATACCTTGGTAGAGCAGATATACAGTATTTACTGCAGTCATCCCTGATGCCTGCAGGGGGGTGTATATGACAAATATACACCAAGTCCCTTCTGATGGCTCCTGCCATAGCAGTCACATCTTCAGGAGGACATGGAAAGAGGAAGGGAAGGAGATGCAGAACACCGATGACTACTTGCATACAATGTATTTGAGTGAGTAAAAGAATAATTGGGCAGAAAGGCAGCTGTCGCAACCAGCCGCTCCTGATACTTTTCAGGATATCTGAGGCCTAATCCAGCCATGCACAAATGTAGACACTATGAGCCATAATTCTTACAGAAAAGCATTTACATGTGCTTTCACTGAACTTCTGCATGTGAGAAATAAGAGTTCAGATTACGTGACCCATCAGGTCACTGGTAACCCCAAACACTTATGAACAAATATAGTCAAGGATAAAATAAATGACAAATTGAAGAGGTAAAAGATATAACCTGCACTACCTATGAATTACACTTGCTTGATATTCCAGTGGGACCTGAAAGACGGCATGATGTAATTTGCTGATGGCTCAAAATAAATGAGGCAAACTGGGGGAAGAGATGGAAAATAACAATAGACTTCAACAAGTCAAGAGCACAGCACAACTTCAGGACAAGGTATGAAAATAACAGAAACTGGAAAGAGCTAAAACTTTTAGAAGTTATTTTATGACCTCACTACTTGCAGCTGGGACACTCACGTAATTTAATTATGAAACAGGGTACGTGACCACAACGCTAAACTGTAAGATAAGCTGTCAGAATATTTCTGAAAGTAGGTGTCTTTCCAAAAAAATAAATATGAATTAACCTATAGTAACATGACCTAAACCTAAAATTCACCACCAGTTGCCAGTTTAGACACAACACCACAAACTCTCACTGTATGCAGGAAAATACAGGAAAAGAGGAAAAAGAAAAGATAGATGTTTTTCTTTCAGGAGTAAGAAACTCACATATTATTCTACAGTTAAAGGGTTATTTCTTTGGACAGCAGCTCAGCACTTTCTCTAATTACCCATAATCAATCATGTTATTTACTTACTCAAGCGTACTTTTTCTATCTTCTCAAAAACTTAGCCATATTATTTACCATCCCGTTCTGAACGAAACTTATACAGTCTGTTGACTACTGACAGAGTACTAGCTGTCTAGTCCCTTCTCATGAAAGATGGAGAAGCAAAGAAAAATAAATACAGGAGAGCTAGTAGAAGTAGTCAACTTACTTTGCTTGTAAAGAAGCCAAAGCATCTGAGAACTTGTTGCTAAGAAATAAGTCCAGAGCTGCCATACATTCATGCAATGCCATGTTGAGGCCTGATGCAGGTGACCTGCCAGGAGAGAGAATAAACTCAGCACGTTTGTTTTCCTTCCACTGGTACAATGCTACTACATTTGAATTTGTCACCTTCAGCGCTTGCCTTATTCCCATGTGAATAATCTGTTATTTCATGTCTAATACTTGCAAAAGATGACAGTGTCTTCCATTTCAGATACTCTGTTTTTTTAACCAAATCTTTACACTGCAACATGTGGAAAGCAATTCAAGTTTTCTCCTTTCTGAAAGAGAAGCAAGTTGCTGTAAACAAGTACTTGCACATGGAGAAGTTACCATGTGGGAGCCCGGTAATTTGATGAGCTCAGCTAGCAGAAACACAGGAGCACTGGGTGACAGCACACACCTTGACTGTATGTAAGCCTGATCCAGACAATAGGCTAGTTGCACTATGATTATGTTGTCGCTTTCTTAAGGGTGAAATGTTTCTGTACTACATCAGATAATTATACACATTGCTATTGGAACAGCTGCTTGAGTTCAGCTCATATTCAGCATGGTTCCTGACCAATAAACTACTACGGTCTTGTAAGTCGGCTAAAATTTTGCATCGTGCATGCTCCTGGGAACACATTTTCCCTAGAAAGTGCTGCTGCATCTCAGAGTCAGAACATTATCTTAGATGGCTTACTCTGTATTTTCCTCCTGTAAAACATTCAGATGTCAGCCTGACCTTTCACGAGGGTTCTCAGCTGGTCTCTAGGTTACTGGCAAGGGGATAATACAGACCAGCTGAAAAAATGTGGCCCAAGTTCATCACCATCAGAATTACTGTACAAAAACACAGAGAAAAAACGATTACCTTTACACTAACAAAGTTACGGTAACCTGGCCAATTTCAAGACAGTTCGTGAAACATGGACATCTTGCATCTAATGACAGAAGAACTATATTGCATTAATATGTCGCATAGAAGGCTGTTCCAAAAAAAAAAAAAAAGACCCAACAAAAAAACCACACTTATCAGTTTCCTGACTCCAACAGCTCTAACTGATGTGAATTGTCTTGTGACTTGGAAACTGTGTTACTTCCTTAAAAAATGGCAAAACACACAGCTTGCTGAAAGAAAAACAGAAAGCAAAATCCTGGTATCACCTTAAGGAAAACAGGGGAGCACAGAACAAACTGATAGTATCAGTAATAACCACAGACTTGAGCACAGTGTTCTGGGTTTGTTTTTAAGAGTAATTACTACAAAGAAAAAAAGAGCATAGGTATATTCTATATATGAGAATCAAGATTATAAAACTGAGAAAATCATTATACAATAGTGTTCATAGGGGCTGTTGTCTTCATGCTTCAGATGTGCTGCAAATAGCCCGGCTCCCAAGAGACTCCCCACGCGCTTTGCAAACATTGATTAACCAAGTCTTGGCATACATGTGAGCGCTGTCTCATACAATACGCAGTATCACCTCTACCTAACTCTTGGAATCCACTCTGAGCCTTACTTACCATAATAATTAAAACTTTGCCAATTATTGTTTGTAAGTATTATGGTTCTTATTAGCCTTTTTAAAACCTCTGTCCCTGAACCAAACAGCATGTTTAACACTGTAATACACACACTTTCATCTGTTTTAAAGTCTTTAGATATTATTGTTAGTAATATTTTATCTGTTTTTTTTTTTAATTTATCTCCATGCAGGAGAATTTTTTAATTTATCTCCATGTGGGAGAATTAGAAAAGAAAGAAATTAAATACAAGTGAACCTTTTCAAAATATTCCCTTTTAAAACAGAAACCTGACTAAAAAAACCACTGTTGAAGTTCAAAGCACAGATAAGATACGTCAACCATTTGACATATTTTCTGGAATAAGAATAATGAACACAGTGCCATCCCCAGCAGCAGCAGCAACAATGTAAGCAGCATACTTCCCTAACGCTCTAAGGAAACCAGACATTTGATGTGGTTTCCCAGTCGCGAACTTAAGACCTGAGCTAAAATATACACCTTACAGAAACACTACAAATTATCATTTATTGCTGTTAACAATAGGGCAAAAAGAAATACTTTTAACTAGAGAATGCTAAGCATTTTTAGCAAACTGATTAGTCATGCTTCAGTGGGTTGCAGATTCTCTCCTATCTTCAACGACAAGATCAGAACTGCCTCTAATCCAAATTGAAAATACCGTGCATTGCTACTTACCTTGCCGGTAAGCCTCTCGTGTTTTCTGACATAGTCATTTGCATGCCCAGTCAGCATTTAAGCAAGAACACGTAGCAGTGGCAGGCACTCAGCGCTACTTCACCAGCTCTGAGTGACAGTCACACTGTCAGCACAGGGCAGGGCAGAGCCTGCCTGCCTGCCTGCCAGCCAAGGACATTGTACTCTCTGATTGGTCATTAGGGATTTTATGAAAAAAACTTATGAGCATCAATAGCTCAGTTATAGTACACTATGAATGAGTGATTTAGAAGCCATTCCATGATACCTTAAGTTCACATACCATTGAATACCACTAATCCAGAGAGCGTCAGTCCCTGCCAGCGTATCTTTGATCTACAAGCTATTGCAGACCTGACAGAAACTAGTGACTGTCAGCTATCTTTCGTTCTGTGCAAACGAGGCAGAAGTCAAATATCCCTGTAATTACATATTTGAAACAAAAATTACTGCATGAGGTATTGAACCTCATCAGAAACTATGAACAAGAACAGAGAGTAGAATTAGACTGGTTGAAATGTAGGAGAACTGAGGCCTTAATTGCTGTGAATTTGCAAAGCAAACAGGTAAGACAAGAAACTTATTTCTTCTTACTAAGGATTCTCCACAAAGCAGGCTTGAATCCACAAGCCAGCTACTGCTTATTCTTGGTTCCTATGAAGTTGGGAGGTAGTGAGATTTTACATGTTCTTTGTAAAAATCTCTCTTTAATTTCGGGTAAAATTAATGGGTTGGCATAAACAGTTTAAATCACTGGAGTGAGCTCATCTGGCTGACTCTGCCCAAAATAAGAGAGTGTGCGCTCACAAACTGCCCTGTTGGCGGATGAGCCGTGCTGTTGCTAGGCATAAGAAGGGCAGCAGAAGCAAGCTCTCCAGTACAATAGCTGTACTGTAGAAGTTGATCAGTTATGATCTAATTTATCTAAGGACTAAGTCAGTTTCTCCAAAGGGTTATAGTCTAATGTTAAAAATTATACACGTAAAATTATACATGTCTTTTATCCTACACATTGTTCTATTTCTTAGGTTATACAAAGCAGTACCAGTAACAGAGACATCAACTGCTGAAGGAGGACCCAAAAAACGATGAACAAGAAAAGGAGAATTTCAGGGAGATACTCTGAAAACATTAACACACCAGATTAAACCTTTTATAGCGCCCTGCATAGGAAAAGCCTGTGTTGCATTTGGTATACAAATTATTTTAACAGAGGCACAGGCTGTCCCTTTAGGAACTCTGTTACAAGTTCAAAACAGCAGCATGTACTTGTGCTGCAGCAGGAGATAAAAGACATTACTGTTCCCTGCCCCCTCTCCAGGTGGGCACAGCTACTGCTTGCAACTTGAAATAAGCAAGGTGCTTCTATGCCATGGTCATGAGCTACTCTAAAAGACCACCCATTGTTTTCACTAGTTGTTTATATACTTTCGAATTGATACTGTATTTCCCAAATTAGTCTTTAAAGTATGGTGTATGGCGAAGGCTCCAGCTGTTTCTGGCAAATTCTTCAAGATTTGACTTGGCAGATTTGGGGTAAAATTTACATGCTTAGACAACCTGCACCCCACCCATACCTGTCTGTCTGTCTCTTCTTCTTCTACTCCTACTCTTTTTTTTTTTTTTTTTTAAACTAGAGTAAACAAATCTAAAAAGTTAAGATCAGGAATATTTCCAAGTTTAGGCTATTTCCTCCTCGGTTTTAGAAGCTTATTTCTTTTTTTGCCTTTTGGCTGCGGATCTTACAAGGACAGGCGTACGGTTCTCATTGTGACTTTATTAGTTATTAAATCATCGTTCTCTGCCCTGGAGACCACAACTGGGAGTGCTTCATAAATCATAATTACAGTATATCTTATGACTTAACACAAGACTTGATCTCTGTACTCCAGTGCAGGCCCACTGCCTCTAGTCACAAGCACAACTACTCAGGACATCCTAGGCAATGTTCTTTTTGCTTAAACATCAAATCCTTTCCATGCCAACAGCAATACCGAACGCCATAAATAAGCACTAAGTACGTGATAGATTAATTTTTTGAATATTAATGAAAAAGCGTTTTCAGGAGTATAGAATCATGATTTTTAATGGTCAAAAAGGAGGAGGTTTTTTTTGGAGGATGGGAATTACCATATTTCTGCATAGGTTTTCTTTATTTCACTGTGTGCATGATGACTGGTTTCTTACTGTAAGCTTGCTCTCAAGTACTAAAGAGCACGTATGCTTATCTAAAACGTCATTGGTTTTATGGATTTCTTTAATAAAAAAAATTCAAACCTTGTATTCTGCAAAACGTTGAACTACTGACTCATTTGACCTCAATAACTATCAGGACTTTGCAAAAAAAGGTAAGTCCAAAGTTTGTGCCCACAAACCTTTGCAACCCCTTCAATATTAATTCAATAGCTCCTTCCGTATCGCGAAACACTGAAAGCAAGTTAAATCAGTTCACACTCTAAAATGTGGAAACATTTCCCTGACAAATCTACGTTATCTGCACAAGGCAATTTAGGCCATATGCATGAATAACTTAATTTGGAGGAACACAATAAAATACAAACAGTCAAGCAAGACTGGGCTAAACAGTACTTGATGAGAAACCACCACAGAGAAGCCCAAATGTGGATGACTCAGTAGCTGACTCTCTTCTCTCCATTATCAGGGAAGAATCAGCATCTCAGAGGGGGGAGCAGTAGAGGCACATGATGATGTCTTTACAAACGTAGCCCAGTCACAACCACATAAAGCAAGTGAGAGGCAAGATCAGAGAAAAGCATCTAATGGAAAGATTACTTTCCAGTCCCAAAGAAACTTCATAGCATAACCTCTGTAGTTATACTAGGGATCACATATCTTAGGAGCTTGACCAGCATTAGCACAATTGGGCCCAATCGTAACCGGCACTGTTTTAATGCTATTCACAAACATCAGCAAAGTTGCTCTAGTCAACACCGACCGGGGTTCTGGCTCGACTGCTGCAGTTCTATCTGCATGGCACAGCTGGCTTCTGTTGCTCAGCTGTTCCACCAAAATATATTTCTCACACAACACAATACGCCTCCTAGTTCCGTATCATCTCCAAACTTGCTGAGGGTGCATTCAGTCCCACCATCCAGGTCATTAGTGAAGACGTTAAACATTATTGTCTCTATTGTATGGACCCCTGGGGGATATCACTAGTGAATGGCCTCCAGCTGGACTTTGTGCCACGGAGGACAACCCTCTGAGCCTGGTAACTCAGTCAGTTTTCAGTCCACCTCACTGTCTGCTTATCTAGCATGCACTTCATCAGCCTGTCTATGAGGATGTTATGGGAGACAGTGTCAGGCCACCAAATGCAGTAAGTACTGTCACTGGCACCAGGGTATCTTCCTCACTGCATATTTTCAAAAATATCACCACTTAATACAGATATTATTTCTGCTGCCATAACGCGGACAGACAGGTTAGGAAATATCAGATAACTGAGGTTATTTTCTTCTGTCTTTTCAAGTTGACTGTCAAGTCCTTTTTAAACAGATGACTACTTTAAGCAACACTGTATCACAAATCATCTGAACCTAAGACTGAAAAAAATCTCTATATTCAAAGAAAACGAAAAGCACATCACTTGGGAAAAATTATGTTTCTACTTTGCAAACATTTCCAAAGCCGCGTGAGATCAGAAATAAATTCATATGAACACCTGTCTCATTAGGTGAAAAGGAGAACCAGTAACCAGTTCTCATAATAATTTATTAACATTCAGTTTTCAAACAATACAGGAACTTCTTCATATTCAAAAGCAAATAAACTTATATAAGAAAATCAATTCTAATATACCCCTTCCTGCTTTATGTGCCAAGCTAGCGACACCTCAGCATAATTTCCATTTATCTTTTTGTTCTACAATACATTTGTAGCATATGACTAAGGCTCCTAGGTACTGCAGAAATGTCATTACTTCTGAGAATAATAAAGTAACAGCAAAGCTTTCTGTATCCATGTTCCCCAAATTCTGTACAGAAATATAAACATGATGCAATTCTGGAATTCAGGAGATCTTAGTCCATATTTCAAGACTGCATGGGGGGAGATTTTGGTAGGCTATTTTTGAGGCTAACTCTGCTCTGAAACTACCATAGTTGCTGATGTCTGGACAACGTCAAAGGTCTTTTATTAAAAGGATATTCATGCTTTTGGTCCTTACGTTTCAGTAAAGGGTCACAAGACAACGGGATGTGACAAAGCAGTCAAGTGCATGAAACAAAGTTCAAAGAATCAGTAGACTTATGTTCTGCCCTTGGTTCCACCACTGTTTAACTTACGCCAAGCAGGATCTAAGTTGCACTATGCTGACAGTTCTCATCCTGTATTTGAATCGGCAAACAATGCAATAAATTAATTTAGATAGATTTGTTCAAGTAGAAAGAAAGCGTTGATGTCATTTTGTGCACTTCCTTTTCAGTAAGCAACAGAATTTTAATGGCATGACCACTCATAAAAGTACACCAGACATGCAGAAACGCAGCATTTAGTCGGTGATTATTCCCAGTTATTAGAAGTGTCTGCATCAAATAGAAGGGAAAAAAGCAATTTAATCTGACCAATTACAAATTATCAACCCAAGCATCCTAGAATTGTGCTAATCCATTGGAACGTACAAACAATAATTAACACAAAGTTAAAGTTAAAAGAAAACAAATACATTCAGCATTACAGAATTTCATATGCCCACTGCAATTAAGAAGCTAAACTTGTTGAGTAAATTTGCATGGTAAATCAGTCTGTATTAATGCTTAACAAGTTTTAAGAGTCCCTTTTCAATTCAAATGCTCAACAGCCTTTATCATTTTGAAATACAGGTTTGTTTTGTATGACTTTTGGTTTTTTTTTTTTTTATAAAGTCTTAAAATCAACACTTACATAGCCTTACAATACTAATTTGCTCTTTTCTCAAAGTCCTCTAACTTCTCACATTTTTACTACCTCTGGTCAAACCTACACTTCTGTCATAGTTATTCTTAATTTTTAAAGGTATA